GTGCAGCCTGCTTCCTAAGAGGGTTGGGAGACCCCTGGCCTGGAGGCCTAGAGAGCCTTAGGGAGCCTGAATCCCTGGATAGATGAAGGAAAACAGGCTACCCACGTGGGGCCCCTTAAGGCCTCGTTCTCCGGCCACTGTCCTGCTTTGCTTTGCTTCCTCTCTGTCTCTCCCTCTCTCTCCCCTAGGGGCTGAACCCAGGGGCATTCTGCCGGGCCTCTACTCTGATGGATTCTTGCTCCTCAGAGCCTCCCTACATATGGCCCTCTGTCCTGAGTGCTGTGAGCCAGGCTGGACGGAAGTGCCTCCTGCCCAGTGCCTACTGTCCATGCCGTCATCTGTCTCCTACGACGGGCTGTGTTCCTCAAGGTGGGACTGGGCTTTGTTTGCTTCTGTGGCTGGCACTGTGTTGAGGCTCAGCACCTATTTAGTGAAAGAGTGAGTGCCGTGGGGGTCCTGGCAGTGGACAGAGGTGACAGAGGTGGCTTCTGTGCAGTGAGTTCCTTTCCTCCTGGTGGCAGAGCTGCCCTGGTCTGTGTATGCTCTGAGGCAGTAGGCGTCAAAAGTGACTGAGGACTCGGGGCCTCCTGGGACCTCAGAACACTAACACTCAGCATCCACAGCCAGCCTGCTCCCGCCCCTGCCCTCCTCTGAATCGGCGGGATTGTGCCCCCCAAGAAGATACACCAAAGTCCCGACCCCGGGCTGTGAGTGTGACCATACTAGCATAGGCCATCAGTCCCTGGCCTGGCTTGGCCAGAGTCCTCACCAAATTCCTGCCCGCCTGGGACCTGCCAATGTGACCTGGATTGGAAACAAAATCTTTGCAAATATTAGCAAGTGAAGACAAAATCATACAGGACTAGGGTGGTCCTGAGCCAGCATGACCAGGACCCTTGTAGGAGGCACATTGGAGAGAGTTGCAGGGCCTCTGACGATGAGGGCAGGGATTGGAGGGATGCAGCTGCTAGCCAAGGAATGCAGGTTTGCTAGAGCCACCGGAAGCTGGAAGAGGCAAGGAGGGAACCCACCCCTTCATCCTCCAGGGAGACAGGCACCCACGGAGACAGGCACCCACGGACACAGTGATCTCAGATTTCCTGGCCTCCAGATCTCCAGAGGATGATTTCCTGCTGGTTGAGTCACACAATGTGTGGCTGCTGGTTAGGAGGGTACCTCACACCGCCCTACCCGAGGGCCCAGGCTGGATCCTGCTCCACTGCCATGGGCTGTGCGACCTGGTCTAGGCCATCTTCTCCCATGAGCCTCAGTCTCTTTTTCTGCTAAGGGGAAGCACACATTCCCGTCCAAGCCTGGCTGGAGATGTCTCATGGTCGACTGTGAAGGGCCAGCTCTCATGTCCTTGCTGTGATTCCATACAAGAAGTCCACCATCATGTGTTCACCTGACAAAGGTTAATTCCTCCTGTGTCTCCAGCCCTGGGTTGGAAGGGGTGGGGACCACTTGAGAACCACTCACTGAGTTAAGTTCAGGAAGCAAGTGTTGACGTGGGGGCCTGTGCAGCACATGCGTTGGTAGAACCTTTCCTCTCAGGGCTTTCTGTGAGCACAACCAAGGGCAGACATCCCACCATCTGCCACTGTGGCTGAGCTATCACTAGGCCACTCCGTCATGTTGCTGGAAGGCCCTGGAAAGAAGAAGAAAAAAAGTGGGAGTGGTGGTGCACGCCTGTAAGCCCAGTCCTCTGGGAGGCTGAGGCAGAAGGATCACAAGTTTGACTCCAGCCTGGGCAACTTAGTGACTTAGTGTTACCCTGTCTCAGAATAAAAATTTTTAAAAGATCTGCTCAGGAGTGAAGTCCTGGGTTCAATCCTCATTACTGAAAAGCAAAAAAAAAAAAGAAAGAAAGACAAAAGAAAGCAACTCTGGAGCTTTTCAGTCAACTCTGAATGAACACCAGCCATGTGCAGGGCCCTGGGAGGAAGCCAGACACACCGCAGGAGGTGGTGTCCAGTGTTTACCCGATGCTGATGCTCCAAGCGCGCCCTGTGTGTTTGCTGAACCTGCTGTGACTGGGGCTGGGGATTTAGCTCAGTGGCACCCCACCTGCCTCGCAAGCACAAGGTTCTTAGTTTGATCCCTAATACCAAGAAAAAGAAAAAAAAAAAGTGCTCGCTTTGGCAGCACATATACTAAAATTGAACCTGCTGTGACCAAGCGCACAGCTCGGTCACAGGCTGGGTGGGGATGCCGGCCTTGGTGGTTCTACAGGCTGTGTGTCCGGATGCACGTGTTGGTGCAGCAGCCTCTGGTGGGCACGAGGGACCCTGCTGTGGCCTCACTCCTGGTACCGCCTGACCTCACCTCCATGCCCTGGGCTGCTCTCCTGTGTGCGAGTCTCTGTCCCCAAATCCCCCCTTTATATGGTCACCAGTCAGACGGGAGTTGGAGCCACCTGACATTTTCCTGCCCTCAACAACCCAGCTTTGTCCCCTGTTCCAAGGCCACAGAGAGCAGCCCAGGTAGGGGACGCATCTTGTCTGGTCCCTAACAGGTGGGGGGACTGGGATTTCTGGCTCCCCAACCCTAGCTGGATCTTTGTCACTTGACCCCTGTTCTGCCCTGTCACCTGGCCTCCAATCCACATGGGCCAGGCCTCCAAGTGGCTTCTCTGACCCCGGGAACTTAGGAGCTGGGGATGCTGCGGGCCAGCATTGGTGTGAGGTGCAGATTTTGTTCCCTGTGTGCATGTGAGCAGGAACACGAGTGCCCGGACCACAGGGTCACTCTTGTGGCCACAGAAAGCCCTTGCCCCCGGTGTCCAGTGCCTCCTGTAGTGTCCCCTGTTGTCCTCTGGAGCCAGCCCCTCCCCCAGACTTGGCTGATCGATGGCAGGGTGTCAGGGACAGAGGACATCGATTGTGCAACATCTGCATCTAGACGGTCCAGCTGCTGGCCTACCTGGGCGGGGCCTGGGCCATCTGACCTTCTGGGGGCGGGAGGGACACAGAGGCAGGGCTCAGGCCATCTGTCCCCACTCACACACTGTCCTTGCTCCCATGCCAAAATCCTGTCCCTTAGAAGTTTCCAAGTCCAGAGCCCAGGGAGAGAGGAGACGGCAGAGGAGTCCTGGGGCCAGGGAGGGGCACAGTGGATAAAGTCAGGATCAGGCCCTGTGGGTCACACCTCAGGGGAGCAGTGAAGGTGAGGGGTGTCCCAGCCCAGTCCTGACTGGCTGGCCCCCAAAACTGGGCCTCCGGTTCCCTCTCCTTGGCCATCAAATGAGGCCTGCACCTGACAGTCTAGAATCAGGGATCAGAGCCCAGGTCCCCAGCTCCAGGCCAGGTCTGGCTGACACCAGTGGCCTCATGGAGTGGTGTGCAGTCACCCACATGCTGCACGCTCCACACCATGCACGCACCTGTTCTCATACAGCTCACATTCCACACACACTGCATACTTTACACATACTGCTCGTGTCACACATCTCAGGATCCACACACCCATTTACACACACTCTACACCCTACACTCTACACTCATACCCCAGGGTCCACAAATACATGGTCCCCACTGAGCTCACACACACACACACTCTCACACACATACACTTTTTGTGCTTCACACCTCCCCCCACTTCATGCCACGGACATATTATACATGCTTGTATTTTACACACACACTCCTAATGTGCACATCCCTACCCTCACACTGTGTACACATACACAATCAACACATACTCACAGCCCCACTGCACACACATCCTCCACCATCCACTCCTCACACACATTACACTGCACACATACACATACTCCACACAGGCATAGTTCACACACACATACACACTTTGGATTCTGGCCTTAAAACGCACAGGTGGACAGTCAGCCCCCTCACTGTGATAGATGCCTGTCAGGCTGTGGATGACACGGGACATCCTCATTGTGCCACCTGCCTTGGTGCACACTCAGGTCAGACTCACATCCCCACAGCAGTGCTCTGGCCTAGCACCATCACGCGAGCCACGATTGCAAGTTAAGCTTTCTGGTAGTCACACGAAAATGTGAAAAAGCAGATGAAATTAATTTTAATAATACATTTTATTAAACCCAAGCTAGGGAAATGTTACCATTTCAACATGCAATCAACATAAAAATGATTATGGAGATCAATTTCTGCTCTTGTACTAGTCTTAGAAGCCTGGCCTGGATGTGTATCAGTCAGCTTCCCATCACTGTGACCACGTTGCTGAGAGGAACTTAGAGGAAGAAAGGTTTAATGTGGCTCACAGATTTTGAGGTTTCAGTCCATGGGCTGCTGGGTCCAGGGCAGGAATAGCATGGAGGGAGGGCATGGGGGAGAAGAGCTGCCCACCTCCTGGCAGCAGAAAGCAGAGGGACCAGGAAGGGAGCCAGACAGGAAGGGGCTGGGGACCACACTCCCACAGCCCACCCAGACACTCCCAGAAGTGTGCTTTGCTAATCTCCTAGGCTTCTCCCAGGCCATCAAGTTGACAGCCACGGTAAACTGTCACAGCATCTTACTCCTGAGCTCATCTCAGCTCACACTGTCTGTGTCCCAAGTGTTCGAGGCCCACATGTGGTCCAAGGTCACCATCATGGGCAGTGGACTCTGTACAGAGTAAGGTAATACTATGATTCCAGTACTGCATTTCCCAGCTCCACGGAAAATGGCATCAAACCCTGTCCCACCTTCACTCGCTCCTCTCCCTTCCCTGGAGTGCACAACCCGACCTCCTTCTTTCTCTCCCTACCAGGGACTCCTCCATCTCACCTGTCCAGGTAAGCAGACCCACGTGAGCCCCTGCAGAGGCCTCCGTACAGCCCCCAATCCTCAGCTTGCCACACTCATGCTCCTGGGGATAGGGGCTGTAACCAGGCAGGACTGTCACCAGGCAACAGCCCCGGGGGAGAGCTCAGGTCTCCTACACCTGCCTGCCAGCCTCTGGGGAGTCCACGGGGTGGGGCGGGCAGAGTGGGCCGGGCACTTTCTGTCTCCTGCCTCCTGCCTGTTTACCTGTGCTCAGTCCCAGTGCTGTCCTGGACCCGGCAGGAGGCCTATGGAGCCTGGGGCCACAGGCCACAGAGGACAAGGGCCAGATACCCCAGCCATGGCTCTGGGCCATTGATCCAGCGCAGGCCGGCCTGGTGGGGGTGGAGAAACCTTGGCCTGGACAAACAGCGCTCCTGAGGTCTGTGTGCAGGCCCGCCACTCCAGGAGGTAAGCAGGGCACTCAGGAACCAGGGACAGGAACCTATGAAAGACATGGGATAGTGTCCCCTCTGGCAGCCAAAATGGCTCTCTAGGGCTTGAGCCATATGCCCTGCTTTGAGGCCAGACCTGTGGGCCTCACTGGCTAGAGAGTGACCTGTGAGCAAGGGCACCAGTGACAGAGCTGAGGCAGGGCAAGCCCAGCCGTATAGAAGGTGCTGGCACTGGAGGGGCACAGTGTCGGTGCTGAGTGGCCTGGGATTCCAGGGGCAGGGACAGGAGAGGCCTGATTTCTCAGGCTGACCCTCCTCTTGGCACCGCATGGCTGGATGGGCTGCCTCCCTGCATGTCTGGGGTGCCAGACGGACCCAGAGCCGCGTGCCACCCCATGGTGGGCCCTGCACAGGACTCTGACTCACAGGCTGAGTGGGCCATGTGTGTGTGTATGCATCCACATGCACGTGAGCAGGGGCATGCACCTTGAGTCTGTGTCGTGAGCAAGCATGTGTGTGTCCTCGGCCCGTGTTTGTCTCTGTGTGAGTTTGTGAGTGCATTTATGCATGTGGCAGGGACCCCCTCCAGTCTTTCCCCCATGCAGGGACCCACAGCTTCAGGAGCTCACGGCAAGGACCTCCTCAGGCTCTCTCAGTCCTAGATCAGATCCCTGATGGGCCCTGGCTGAGTGACTTTGCCTACCTCAGTTTCCCCAGTCATTAAATAGAGGCAACAAAACACACACGCCAGGCTTCCAGAGGAGAAATGAACCCCAGTTTACAGCATGGCCTGGGACGAAGCTGCTGCACAGTTGGGGGTCGGGATTGACAGGAGGCACAGTCAGCCCCAGGGACCCCAGCCTCCAGTGGGCAGAGGAGGACCCACCACTGGGCAGGAGGATGGGGAGGGAGTGGGGGAGGGGACAGGTGGGGTCCAAGTGCTAACAGCAGGTGAGAAGGTGGCCATGGCAATAGGGGGACAGTTCCCCCTTCCGGGGGCTCAAGGTCAGGGGAGAAAGGATACCCATGTGGGCCCTGTGCACCGAAGGAACAGCTGCCAGAAGAGCTGTCATCTCCGCTGAGTGCGGAGAGGCCACCTGGGAACTGGCCGGGCAAGGAGAGCTCCACAGTGAATGTGAACTCACGCTGCTCCAGGTCCAAGTGACACTCTGCGCCCAGGGCTGCGTCCAGCAAGTGGTCCATCAAGATTGCTGTCCTCTTCCCTGTTAGATTCATAACCAAGAGGAGGCCAATGTCACAGCCCCGGGAATCAGCAGGGGAGGAAGGCGGCTGGAGAAGTGGGTGGTGACAGGTAACCCACAAGCATATCATGCAGTGTGGCTCTCAAGAAGGGCTGCAAAGAGAAATGCAGCAGAGAGAGGGGAAGGGGTGACATTTCAGCAAAGACCTGAGGGAGGTAAAGGCGCAGGTTGTGAGATAACCTGAAGGAAAAGCATCCCGGGCCCCGGAATCCCAGGCAAGTGCAAGGGCTGTGGGGTGGATGTGTTGGCCAGCAAGAGGTTGAGTGTGGCTGCAGCAGAGGGAGAAAGGGGACAAGGAGACAAGCAGGGGCCTCTTGGGCTGTGCTGCAGGTGCATGGGAGCCATGTGGGGCTTGCAAGCCAGCACGGGGTGAAGACATTGCTCTGGTTGCTGTGTGGGAATTCGCTGCTGCAGGTGACTGACTACTGCAGGAGTCAAGGGGACAGGTGATGTGGTCTGGGTAACAATGGGAGACATGGGTTCTGGGGGCATTTGGAAGGTGGGGCGTGCTGGACCCCGAAAATAGCAGGAGAGATGCACATTGAATAGTAAGGGAGACAAGATAGTGTGGCCGTCACCCTCTCTGCTGCTGGATGAGACCCTCTAGAGGATGGGAAGAGGTCTCTGTTCACCCCAGCACAGGCCTGGATCTGTGTGGATGCTGAACAGAAGCAGGGTGACTCTGCCTCGGAATCTGGGACTCCAAGGGCCAGGGTGTTGCCCAAGTCCCACTTCCGGGAGGCAGCGAATGCAGGAGAAAGCACTGCCGAGCCCTGGCTGCTTTCTGCATTCCTTCTCATGCTGACTGCCCAGGGGACTCCAGAAGTGGCCAGCTGCAGGCTCAGCCTTTTAAAGGGGGACAGAGACAAGGCCTAGTGCCAGGCATACTGTTGATCTGATCAAAGGCTACCAGGGGAAGAGGGGGCCCTGAGCCCTGGAACCCATGAGCGGCGGGTGGCCTGGGAAGAGGCCCCGAGGTCTAGGCAGGGTGGCATGGGCCCCGGGGCTGATGCGAGACAGATGCTATGACTCCAAGAGAAGGTGGGCAGCAGCTGGCCACTGAAGATCTGGGGCAAGGTTTGGAGGGCAGGTGCCATGTGGAGGAGGGCTGGAGGGGCCAAAGAGCCAGCCGAGATGCAGAGCCAGGGGTCCAGGTGGCAGTGGTTTGAGCCCAGGTGAATTTTAAAGCTGCAGTGGCATTTACAGGTCATTTCTGGGGGTCTGGAATCCTTGCCCTGTGGGTGAGTGACAAAGAGAGCTTTTCTGTCCTGAGGACAATGTGCCTGAGAGGCCAGAAACTCCGAAGTTTGCTTGGAAGAGTCTGAAGATAAAACACCAGACCCGGGCACCGAAGAGGGCTGACATCCAGTTGCTATTGAATCATGATTCATTAGCTAACAGCTGGCTCATTTATAGGAGGCGTCCCTGCGTCAGGGAAAGAGCAGAGAGACAGACACCTGGACTCAAGCCCCACTTACCTGCTATGTGACTCTGGGCAAGAGGCTTAGCCTCTCTGGGCTTTGGTGCTTTTTATCTGCCAGATATTCAAATCATACTAGGAAAAAGAAGCTAGCTAGGACAGAGCTGTTGCTAGAACGCCCTCAGTTTCCTCATCTGTCTGGTGGATGCAGGGAGGGGAGAGGTGTTTGGAGATTTAAGGGAGAGAACAAGTGTGAGGTGCCCATGCAGAGTGGGATGGGGAAGACGGCATGGGGACAATGGTCCCACAGCCCCCCAGGGACAAAGTGAGGATTAAATGATGATACAGGAGTTGTCACCGGAGGGCACTGAGGGAGTATGAACTGTGTTCCCTTCCTTGGGCCCAAGTGGCCCTGAGAAGGTCAGGGGACCTTGGGGACCAGACACCATGAAGGGCCAGGTCCCCTCCAGCACAGCGCTGGCTCAGGGCTGGGGTATCGGCTTTTCGGGGAAGCCATGGGTGAGAGGACAGGTCCCCAGGGCCCGTGCCTGGGTCCTGGTTCTGTCTGGGGCATTGCCTATGGGTGGCCAGGTGCCAGTGCCTCCAGCGTCCTCTGCGCAGAGGCGGCTGGTGCAAACTGAGGCTGAGCCGGGCGTCCAGGGCTGCTGCTGCTGCTGTCTGGAGCTGCTCCGGGGTCACTTACCGTCACCGTGAGCCAGCTCAGCACCTGCCTTGTGGCAATGCCACCTGCAGTTGTCATGCTTCCGCCACGATCAAGCTCTCCGTGCTCGGCCAAGGATCCTTGCAGATGTCAGGCTGTTTCCAACTATGCTTCTTTCCCTCCAGGATGCCCAAGGCTGAGGCCCCCCAGGTTGCTGGCGGGCAGGGTGATGGAGGCGAGAGTGAGGAAGCAGAGCCCGAGGGGATGTTCAAGGCCTCAAAGAGGAAAGCCCGGGACTACATGCGCCTGGCGCCCCTGTCACTGGCCCTGGTGGTGCTGGCTTCAGCGGGGGTGATGCTCTGGTATTTCCTAGGTAACACACTAGGGAGAAGCACAGGGGAGGCCGGAGGGTGGCTGGGGGAACCCGCAGGGCAGACCAGGATCCCAGGGTCGGAGATGCCTGGCCACTCCCAGTGTCACTTTGGCAAGGTGTTCCCCCTCCCTGGCCTCCTCTGTGTCCCAAGGTGGGCATGTTGCTGGACCTCTGCTCCAGCACCCAGTTCTCAGAACCAGCCAGCTGCTGAGGGCAAACATGACTCAGAGCCAGCCTGGCTATGCTGCAGGAGCCCAGGGCTTGGGTGGTATCTGCTACCAATTAGTGCCTCTGCTCATTCAGCCTGGTGCTCCAGGGAGGAGTCCACAGCTCCAGCACCTCTGGGCCTCCAGGGCCCCTTGTGAATGGGAGGGGAAGGTAGAGAAGGGACTGGAGAGCAGCCAGGCTTGGGACCTCTGCCCAGTCTGTGGCTTGGCCCTCTCTCCCTGATGTCAGCCCCTGGGGCAGCTGGGCCTACACACCCGAACCCCATTCGGTCATTGTGCAGATGCTCTTGACATCTACCGAGGGTTTCCCTGAAACGGTGGAGATGCTGCTCCCTTCAGCTCTTATGACTGGCAAGAGAGAATTAACCATAGCGCACCGGACAGAATGCCCCCTGTGCACCATAGGAGACTCAGACATTACTCATTCATTTGCCCAGTGCCATGTGCCTCCCCTGCATGGGCGCCAATGCTAGGTTCTGGGGACACAGTGATTGTAGCACAGCCCGGCCCATGCCTGGACAGAGGAAGCCGAGGGGCCTGGAAGCCACAGAAGGGAAAACCCAGTCTGCCTAGGTGATTAGAGGCTTCCTGCTAAGAGCCCGAAAAGGTCAGAGAGGGCTTGTTGTTGTTGTTATTCTTTTTTGTGGTACTGGGGATTGAACCCAGGGCCTGGAACATTCTAGGCAAATACTCTGCCTTAAGCTACATCCACAGATATTTTAAATTTTTTTATTTATTTTTGGTTCCGGGGATCGAACTCGGGACCTTGCGCTTTCAAGGCAGGTGAGCTAAATCCCCGGCCCCCCAAAAGTTTATTTTGAGATATGATCTCACTAAGTTACCCAGGTTGGCCTCAAACTTGTGATCCTCTCTCCTCAGCCTCCCAAGTACTGTAGCTCGGATTGTAGGTGTGTTACCATGTCCGGCCTACCTGTGTAAATATGTTTTCAATTTGGTGGGTTCATTTTTTTTTCAGTACTGGAGATTGAATGTAGGGGGTCTCTACCACTGAGCTACATCCCCAGTCCTTTTTGTTTTTTATTTTGATGCAGGGTGCTGTTAAGCTGCCCAGGCTGGGCACAAAATCCTCCTGCCTCAGCTTTCTGAGTCACTGAGATTGCAGGAGCAGGCCCCTGCCCCTGTCTGGACAGTGTTCTTACCACTAAGCCTCACAGTGGAATTTCAGGCCCATTGGAGGGACCTGAGTGGCCCACTTTGGAGCAGCCACCAGGGAGACAGATCTGGGTAGGCCCAGCTCAGAAGGGGGACCCAAAACCCTGGAGTAACGGGGCTGGGATTCCCGGGTCTGACCACTCGCAGTGACTCATAGATGCTGCTCAGAGCAGGCAACTCTGCCGGGAACAGATGCTGTGTGCACCTCACCACTGGCGGGGAGCCAGCGCCCCAAATAGCATGGGTCTGCGGAGGCCTCTTCGGGTCTCAGGGTAATTAGCCTTCAGGGTAAACTTTGGAGCACTGGGCCACAGGACTGGGAACTCACCTGCCAACTGTCTTTCTCTGCAGCCCTGGGAGGGGACCCATGGAACGTGCATTCCCCAGACTCACCCCGGTAAAGCCACCCTGGAGGGATTCAGGGTATAGGAGGCACTCAGGGCGCTCCTTGGACAGCTCCCTGGCCAGGCGGGATTGGTTGCACATACTGGGCACTGGGCTGGCGGACGGGTCAGAGATGCGCCCTGCCCATCAGGAAGGGCCCGTGGGCCAGCAGCAGAGTTTAGTGAGGCCACATCAGCCCCGAGCGGGGAGCAGATGGCTTGGCCCTGCTGCTCCCCAGGGCTCTTGCTGCCCCCCTTAATGCCACCAACTGTGTCTCCCTGGTCCTGCCCTCTCCTGCCCTTCCCTCCGGGACTTGATGTTTTCTTTTTGCTCCTCCAGCCCTGCTTTTTGCCCCCTGCTCTGTGAGAAAATGAGCCCTTCCGGAGGGAACCCCTCAGCTGTGCCCACCATCCCTGCGGCCAAGGGAACTATGGGGTTCTCCACCCTGCCCCAGGCTCTGGACCCCACCCTCTTTGCCCACATAATGGCGGAGCACCAGCAGGGACCCCCTCTGTCCTCCAGCAGTGCCGCCTATGTGTCCCCTAGGATGCCTCCCTGTTTCAGTGTACCCTGTACAGCCCACACCTAGCAGGAGCTGTCTGAGGGGCTGCAGCCTCCAGTCCCAGTCTGGGAAGTTTTCCAGCAGGACTCCGATTCCCCTCCAACTCCAGCAGCCATAGGTCACCAATGCTCCACATGGCTAAATCTGCTCACTGACCCAAACCTTCCACGGTTTCCTTTGCTCCTCTGTCAAGACTCCAGCCTGGCCCTGGCACAGTCCAGCCTCTTGCTGCTCCTCCCTTTCTCCAGTTGCTCCAGCCACACAGGCTCTTAGTCCTGGTCTTCACCATAATCCCTCGGCCTCAGGGCTTTTGCACATGCTGTAGTTCCATCCCTCCCCTCCCTTATCTCCTTTCCCAATCTAGAGTCTCCCAGTCCTCACTTGCCAGCTGGAGGTCACTGTGGCCAGGCCTGTTTCCTGTGTCACATCCCCTCAGTAGCTCCTTGTGCTTCTTGGTGTCATTCTGCACAGACAGGTCCCATATGTGGCGCCGTTGCTGGAGTAACACCTGTCTTATCCAGGGCTGTCCCCAGTGAGGTTTAGCAGTGCATGTCACATGGGGCACTTGGACGGCCTGATGCCTCGAGGGCCAGCCTCTGACCTTGACCTTCTGGGCCTGTGTGGCTCTCCTGGCTTGGGTGGCCAGTGTGCCCTGGATTGCTCACTGTGTCAGCCTCTGACTGGGAGCCCTGGGGTCACCATCTGTGCTTCCCTGGCACCTCAGAGCTGGTTTGTCACCAGGCAGACTCTGAATGAGCATGGTGGTAATGAGGATGACAAAGAGCAGGCCACTGATGGCCATGGTGGTGAGGATGATGCTGAGGGCTGGAGGAGGAGGGAGCGGAGGAGCCTTCCCGACTGCTCCCTGGTCACCCTGCACTTCCTTCCCGGACAGGATACAGGGCCGAGGGCACGGTCAGCCAGGTGTACGCCGGCAGCCTCCGGGTGCTCAATCGCCACTTCTGTCAGGACCTGACCCGCCGGGAGTCCAGCACCTTCCGCAGCGAAGCCGCCAAAGCCCAGAGGATGGTAGGGAAGGAAGGACCAGGGGCAGGAAGAGGGCGAGGGTGGGGCTCGGATCCAAGCTGATGGGGCACAGCCCATCCTGGGCACCACGGAAGGGGACCTGCTCCAGGGGTCAGGCGTGTGTAGCAGACGCTCGGTCAGATGTCCCAGGACTCTGGGCCCCGGTGCGGCTCAGTGGGAGGGACCTTGCATAGCGTTGGTGAGGCCCTGGGTTCCACACCACGGTGGGGTCGGTGGGGGAATTAGGATCGGCCCCCGCTCCTGCCTCTTACAGGGAGTGGCCCATGACCTTAGAGAAGGCACAGCGGTGCCCTGGACACCATCAAAGTCCCACCCCTCCCAATGGCTGTGCCACCGTCACCTCCGAATAAACCTCTCGCCTTATTTTGTGGTACAAGGGCTGCTGGGGTGGACCCAACCGAGGTTCTCCATGCCCTCCCCTATCAAGGGGGCCGTAGTACCAGGATATGGCCGAAGGGCTGCTGCAGACTGAGGTGATTCATGGGAACATCATTTCCATGACCTTTGCAGAATTTGAGGGTGACTCTGGCTGGGGTAGCAGGGCCACAGCTGGACCTGAGAGCTGGTGTGTGCTGGGGGTATCAAGCCGGGCGTAGAAAGGGGCTTCCAAAGCCTTGCTGTCCCCGGAAGACAGTCCCTCCACAGGGCTGTCATGTCCCTCCCGCAGCTCAAAGAGCTCATTGGCAGCACCCGCCTGGGTACTTACTACAACTCCAGCTCCGTCTACTCCTTCGGGTGAGTTGTCCCCAGGCCCCACCTCACCACCTCTTCTAGAACCTCAGACCCAGAGAAGAGGGGTGTCAGCCTCTGATGCAACGCCCTCAACCTTAGAACAGGGACTCTAGGCCACAGAACAGGACCCGGGCTTCCCAAGGGTGACCCCTCGTGAGCACACGTTGCCTGTCTGCAGAATCATGAATGCGGGGCTGGGGCAGGGCAAGTCTGGTTGCTCCAGGGGAGGCCAGGTGGGGAGGGGTGCTTGACCATGAGCCTCAGGGCCCGTCCTATCCACATGTGCTTCTGCCACTCACTGTGCAGACCACAGCATGCATCTCAGCCTTGGTATGGAGCTACCAGGGTCACAGGAAGTGCTCAGTCCACCTGCGGGGTGGGACAGCAGGTGCTGGGCGGGGATCAGATGGAGAGACTAACACCTGGTACCTCTTGCTCTGCCCGCGTTAGTGAGGGATCCCTCACCTGCTTCTTCTGGTTCATCCTGCAAATCCCAGAGCACCTCCAGCCCACGCTGAGCCCCGAGATGGTGCGGGCACTGCTGGTGGAGGAGCTGCTGTCCGTGGCCAACAGCTCGGTCCCTGTCTCCTACATGGCTGAGTATGAGGTGGACCCTGAGGGCCTCGTGATCCTGGGTAAGTACCGGGAGGGTGAGGGCGGGGCTTCTCCCAGGGCAGGGGGGGATGCTCTGGTGGGTCCCCCAGGGGCCCCAGAGTCAGGACAGCAGATAGGAGGGAGCCTTTCGGGTAGAGCTCAGACAAGGCTGGCTCTAGCAGCATTCTCTTTTTATTTTCATTGTATTTTATTTTATTTTTTGTCAGTGTTTATTTGTTTGTTCGTTTCCTTTTAACAGAAGCCAGCGTAAAAGACATAGTCACGCTGAATTCCACGCTGGGTACGCTCCTTTTTGTTTTCCTACCCCATTTTCCTTTTGAGTTGGAGTTTTTCTTTGCTTGGTCCAGCACTGGGGGCTGAGTGGCTTCCAGCGTGGGTCCCGGGAGCCTGGCTTGGGGACTTCCAGGGAACACCATGTGGGCACCATGCGGGTTCAGTGCCACGCTTGGGCGTGTAGGGGAAGGCGGGTGCTGGTGTGCGTGTGTGTCCTGTGCACAAGTGTGTGTGGCTGCGTGTGAGGGTGAGCAGCAGGCTTGGCACAGGTAAACCTAACTCTGCTTTTCTATCCTGAAAGTCAACTTCCCACAAGACACTGCTTCCACTGAGGGTAGAAAAACTGGTTTAAATCCAACATACATCAGTTTGTTTGGATGTAAGACTTGGTCCTTTAGCCAGGCATGGTGGCACATGGCTGTAACCTAGGAGTCTAGGAGGCTGAGACAGGAGGATCTCAAGTTTGAGCACAGCCTGGGCACTTAATGAGACCCTGTCTTAAAATTTAAAAAAAGGATTGAGGATACAGCTCAGTGTGAAGGGCCTGGGTTCTAATCCCCAGTACTACAAAAAACAAAAACTTGGTCCTTTAGAGGTAGCAGTTCTGTCGCTTTCAAGGATGCCCCCTCCTCTCTTTCCATCCCTTCTCAGCTAGGCTAATCACCTCCCTCTCCCCACTGGTACCACAGTGCTAGAGTCACCTTGCTTTTCTCCAAGAGGCCACAGTCTTCCTGCTGGGTCCTGGGAAGCAAGCTGCCTGCTGGGCCTCCCTGTTACACAAGGCTGGGGTGCTGCTCACGTTGTTGCCTGTGGACTGGCAACTTCTAGAGTTGTGCAGCGCACTGCCTAGGCTGCTGTACCCTATAGGCTGGGATAAGATTGCCAACTTCATGTACAAAACTGGCTGGTGTCCTGCCAGGAAATGCAATTATAACTTTTGGGTGATCTTTTTGAGTGACCCAAAAATTTTGAGTGACCCAATATTTTGCAGCTTACCAGTCTTTTACATGTAACCCTATAGAGCTGGGGTTGGGTCCCCAGTGGTCATAATGGGTCAGGACAGTCACTCCCAAGACCTTGGTGGGGGGCTCAGTAGATTCTGTATTGGGGCAGGGTCGCAAACCATGGCCTGTGGGCCAATCAGGTCTGCCCTGACTGCTCTTATGTGGCCCGTCAGCTAACAATGAATTTCACAATGATAAACGATGGGGACATGTGTTTCATTTTCTCATTTTCATTTTCTCTTTTGTTCTAAAAGTACCTATGTAGTAGCCTCAATTTTGCTTCAGCTTTCAAAGCCTCAGAAGCCTACTCTCTGGTCCTTCACAGAAGTTTGCTGACCGCTGAAGTAGGATAACACCTCTTGAGAGTCTGGTCTCAGAACCCTGTGCTGCTCTTAGAAATAATATTGAGGACTTCAAAGAGTTTTTGTTTACAGAAGTTGTAGGTGTCAATATTTACTATAGGAGCTAAAACAGAGATGTTTAAGAACCATTTTTAGTCTGGTGTGGTGGTCCACACTTGTAATCCCAGCATTCTGGGAGGCTGAGGCAGGAAGATCACAAATCCAAGCCCAGCTGGAGGAATTTAGCAAGACTCTGTCTCAAAAAGGGGTGGTGGTGGGGGGATGTAACTCAGTGCTAAGGCCCTCAGTTCAGTCCTTAATATTACAAAAAAAAAAGAAAAAGGAGCCAGACACTGTGGCATAAGTGTATGCTTAGCACTAGGGAGGCTGAGGCAGGAGGATCACCACAAATTCCATGCCAGCCTGAGCTACATAGTGAGTTCAAGACCAGTCTGAACTACAAAGCAAGGCCCTGTCTCAAAAAAGAAAAGCTATTTATTAATTCATTTTTAATTTATGTTAAGATAACATGCCCATTAATATCAACAAAATATTTTTATAAAAAAAATAACTACTTCCCCCAAAACAAATTTAATTGGAAGAGTGGCTTCATCATGCATGTTCGTTCCTTTTCTTGGTGTCTGGCTTATGTGAGGCCGCTGGGTGCCAGGGCTGCAGGGGTCCTGGCTCCGGAAAGCTCCACTGTGCACCCCGAGGAGACAAAGCCCCCACACCAAGAGCCCCTACTCTAGTGTGGTATCCAAATGGCTCTCATTACCGCTGTTTCTTTGCTTTATTTCCACACTTGGAAACTTGGATTTTCTCGCACAGGAGAAAGGCTTCCTGTTCTCTGGTTTATCCCAACAGTTCTCAAGTTCTGGGGCTCCCAGGAACCCCTGGAAAGAGTCACAGGGTAGAACTTGCCGTCCCTCCTGGGAGTCCAAGGGTCTTGCAGGGTGCTCAGGAGTCTGCATTTCAAAGCGCAGCCCCAGGAGGGAGCGAAGTGCAGATGGGCTGTGGGGGACCCTGCCCCCCTGAGAAACACTCGTGACAGTGGGAGAAGCCAGCGCCTCCCTGGGAGTGCTGAGAAGACCGTCAGCTCCCCGAGGGCTGGCCTTTGGCAGTGGAGATCCGAGTTGTGAGTCAATTTTGTCTCTTTAAAATGAATGGCAAGGCCCCTCTGTGGACGGGGTCACGTGCGCTGCCCTGCTGGCTGGAGAGAGGAGCATAGGCTGTAAGGGCACAATGTAAGGGTTGGTGTCTGTCGAAAGAAGACTGAAGGAGGTGGGCAGTAGGAATGTTTATTAAGGAGAGAGAAATAGCTGCAAACAGTTGAGAGGGGACCTGAAAGTAGGAGGCCACAGGACTCTGCCTAGGAGTTTTTGTACCCAAAAATGACCAGGGCTCAGGCCACTCTGAGTCGGACGAAGGCTAACTCTAGACCAAGTCCAGCTTGCTGAAACTAGGCACGGGCCTACGAGGAGTCAGGCACAGCAAGCTTGAGTCTGCAGGTGCCTCTTGGCTTCTGTCCTACCCAAGAACAAAGTGAGAAGGACAAAGCAGCAGTCATCACAGTGGCCATCGGTCACCTCGCTTGTCACATCCCTGGGCTTCATGGTCCACCTGGTTCTTGCTAACTTGACCGCAGGCTGTTGTATGTGTGACGAAGGCCTGGTCATCCTGACTGTACCTGGGCCGGGCGCCTCTCCAGCTGCCTGCTGCCTGCTGCTTGCCTTGCCTGTCTATGTTATAATAAGACCACCATCCAGTGGGCCTGGGTGGGTTACTGGACCACACGCCTGGGAGTGGGCGCCCTGGGCACAGGCACACACGTGGCCTTCCCGCAGTGCACGTCTGTGCTTCGTGTCTGCATGTGCCCACCTTTCTTTTCCTTCCTTCCCCCCTTTCTTCCTCTTCTTTCCAGGCCCCCCAGCATGCCAGGCAAGTGCTCCCCCATGGAGCTGCACCCCAGTCCCATCCCCACACTTCTAGCAGTTGCTCTGGGCTTATCCTTGAGTGGCTCCACGGGCGTCCAGATCCCCTGCCCTCCAGGGCAGAGCCCAAGGGGAGGGGCACGGTTCAAATCCTTCAAGCCAACTTTGTGGGAGCTTCCTCTATGCCACGCCCTGCTGAGGGTGACCCTGTCCCCCTCCCATCCTTGGAGGAACTCTGAGCCACATGAGGGAGGCAGGCTCATAAACAGATTCCCAGAGCACCAAATGCCAGTGAGGGAATAGAAGCCCCAGGGGAAGAGGAAGGTGGATCTGCCCAGGGGCAGAGGGAGATTCCAGGGGAGGTCCAAAGCACCCTGGAGACACAGCTCGGAGTGCTGGGACCCAGCGAGGAAGGAAGGAAGGAGTTGTATGGCCTGGGGGATTCAGGACCTTCAGGAGCAGGGGCATCAGGACAGGCGAATGCACAAGGCACCTTGACTGATTTCTTCCCGGAGATGAGGTGGGGGTGGGGTGGGAGTGAGGGGGAAAAAAAAAAAAAAAAATCTCAGGCCCTCCACAGATGTTTCTGATTAACCACAGGCATCAGCATGCCACACCCATCATCCAAGCATGCTGGAGGCTGAGGTGGAGGATGGCAAGATGGAGCCCAGAATAGGCAATTTAGCAACTTAGAGACTGAGCAAGATACTGTCTTAAAATAACAATTAAAAGGGGGGGGAGAGGGGGGGGGGGGGGGCGGGGCGGGGACTTAGCTCAGTGGTGCCCCCACCTGCCTCGAAAGCATAAGGTCCTGAGTTTGATCCCGGTACCAAAAAAATTAAAATAAAATAAAAATGGGGATGTAGCTCAGTGTGAAGGGCCTGGGTTCAATTCTCAGTACCGGGCCAAAAAATTTCCCCTAGAAATAGACAAGCACTTTTCCCCAGCTGCCCACAGAGACCCTGCTCCTTCCCCTGGCAAATACCCTCCGAGGCAAGCCCAGGTGCTCCCTGCGGAGGTCTGCTCACCCTGGGGTCAGGATGGCCAAGGGTCAGGACAGAGAAGCACCTAGGAGGGCAGGCAGAGCTTATGGCTGCATCTGTTTGCAAGAACTCAGACTGGCTGAGCCACTGGCTCAGAGTCACACTGCTGAGAAGTGGGTGGACAGGACAACCATCAGGGTCACCTGGCAGAGCACCGGGGCTCCCACTTCACAGGCTCATGGTGGGTGAGTGTCACAAGGGGCTGCGGGTACATGGGGTGAACATCTGCCTGATTCCTGCTGGTCCCTGGGGCCCAGCCCAGATGCCTCCAGCTGCTCAGAAAAAGTCCGGGATGGCAACAAAGCTTAAGGATGAAGGGCAAGCGAGGAGGTGCTTCTCCCCGCACCCACCGAAAGAGCAGCCTCTCCCTTTACTGAGCACCCACTGTGTGCCTGGCACAAGCATCATGCTAAGCCTTGTGATGCCCCCACAAGGGGGAGCAGATCACCCTCAGTCTGCAGATGAGACAGCCAAGGTCCAGAGAGGGTTCAGTGGGGATTAAGTGAACCCAGATCTGCCTGGCTCCATCTGTAAAATGGGCTCAGTTATAGAAAATATGCATGTGGTGGTGGTGGTGCCTGAGGAGGCTGAGACAGGAGGATTGCAAGTTCAAGGCCAGCCTGAGCAATTTAGGAAGACTCTGGGGAATGTAGCTCAGTGATAGAGCATTTATCTAGCATGCATGACGCCCTGGGTTCAATCCCTGTACTGAAGAAGGAAAGAAGGAAGGAAGAGAGGGAGGGAAGGAGGGAGGGAAGGTATCCATGGAGCCACTGAGAGCAGGAATGGGGGTCAAGGCATTGCACACAGACCCCGCACGTATCAAACACTTCCTGAGCACAAACTGTTTCCCTGCCCTGTTCCAGGATAGCTGACTCCGCTCCTCCCTCCAGGTGCCGAGTTGCACACCTCCAGAACACAGGCCCTTCCCTCTCCCCACCGAGCCGCCCTGGCCCCTCACTGTGCAGCTACCTCAAGGGTCTCCCCAACTCAGTGTTGATCCCTGCCTCCAGGGGGGTCTGGGGTGCGAGCCAGATGGTACCCAGCCCTGCTTACAACTCCGTGGCTCCCACAGCCTCAAGAGTGGCAACACTCGCCCTTTGTGATCGGGTCTGCCTCCTGCTCTCGCTGGCAATGCATCTGCTGGACTCAGATTCCTCAGAGCTCCCTCGCTTAACCTCTGTGCTAGAGCTGTGGACCCCAGTACAGGCTGGCTCACAGCCCTCACCTCCTGAGCCTTGGTCACCCATCTCTGTATCTGCTCCGCTGTCCTTGGGGTTCCCAGGCAGCACCTGCCCTCTGTCCTGGTGCTCACCTGGCCTGCAAGCTCGGTGCGTTTGATGAGTGAGTGAGAGATCAGACTGGTGAGCAAATGCGCAATAAGGGGCTGAAAAAAGAAGCAGCAGGGAGGCTGGGAGGTGAGCATGGTGCACCTGGGCCCCCATCCAGGCCGCCAGCCCCCAGCTCCCTTCCTCGAACTGGGGTCAGGAGGTCTGTCCCTCTCCCCTCCAGGCTGTTACCGCTACAGCTACGTGGGCCAGGGGCAGGCCCTTCAGCTGAAGGGCCCCGACCAGCTGGCCTCCAGTTGCCTGTGGCACCTGCAGGGTCCCCAAGAGCTCATGCTCAAGGTGCGACTGGAGTGGACCCTGGCCGAGTGCCGAGACCGCCTGGCCATGTATGACGCAGCTGGGCCGCTGGAAAAGAAGCTCATTACCTCGTGAGTCCTGGGAGTGACAGGGCTGGGTGGGGTCAGAGTCACAGTCAGCATGCTGCAAGCAAGACAAGGGACCTAAAGGAAAGGGAAAGGGAGTCCCGAAATGTCCTGTTGCCTCCATCCCAAGCCTCAGTTTCCCCATCTGTAACAGAGCAGTTATTCCGGGCGACCCCTAAGGTCAGCTCAGGGAGGCCACATGGCTGGTTGGAAGATTTCAGAGTCTGGCAGCTGCCTAGACTTCCAGTTCCTGCTCTGCTGCTACCTGGCTGTGTGCCCTAAGGCAAGTTACTTGGCCTCTCTGGGCCCTAGTTTTCTTGTCTGTAAAATGAGAGTATAATGACGCTTAGCAGGGTTATTGTGAGAATTTAAATCAGATCGTCTGTGCTATGATCCTCACACATCCAAGTGCCCAGGAAATTCCAGTCACCATGACAATCATTCTGTATTATCTGGTTGGCCCCCAGCCATACAGGGCATGGAGTGCCAAGAGCAGTTTGGACTTTCATATTTGATAAATGGGGAGCTACTGAAAGTTCTTGAGCAGAGGAGTAGGGCTTTAGGACATGGGATATGATATGGAGTACAGAAGTGACTGGGGTCAGAGGGCAGGGGCTGGGGGTAAGAAGGAGGGGCTGGAATGGCCTTGGTGTCCGGGGGCCTGGCCACCTCCCCACAGCGTGGGCAGAGGGGTTTGTCTCCCCGACAAGGCTCTGCAGCAGGTGTTGGGGGCACTCTGGCATGGGCAGTTGCAGTCCTTTTCTGATGAGCACTTACACTGCACCAGGCACTTTGGTGTCACTTGGGCAGTGCCTCGCCTCCAGGTTGGGGGTGGGGTCCATGTGTCCCTTGCCAGCTTCGAGGCTGTGCGTGCCCCGGGGCTCCCTGGCCTGCCCTGCTGACCTCAATCTGGGGTGTGGGGGGGTGGCCCTTGATACACCCTGACTTCCAGGTCTGCTCGTGGGGGTCTCTGGGCTTCCCCGGGGCTTCTCCGAGTGCCTCTCCGAGCCCTCACAGCTGTGGAGGAGACTTGACTGAAGGCGAGGCTCTCCCTACCCTTGGGTTCTCAAACTTGCACCAGAGCTGTGCTGGGAGTGGGTGAGGGGCCCTGTGAGGGGACCCTCAGCCCACCCTATCCACACAGTTTGTCCCCGGGTTTCCATGTTTTCTTTACAGTGGCTCCATGGAAAATTAGTAAGAAACCCCCAGTAATAAGGATGCTCCCACTGAAGATGAAGGAGCCCTGAATCCCCTAGTGTCTGAATTCCACATCCGCAGGAGATGAACCCGAGTGGTGAAGGTGGCGTGCAGTGTGTGGCCGGGTGGGGCCCCCAGCAGAGGACCAAGCCAGCCTGGTGGCTGGGGACAGAAGCCCTTTGTTCCCCTGCCAGCCTGAGAGAGAGGCCGGGGAGATGCCCCTGGGAGACTCCCAGGACCGTTCACTCCTCTGCCAGGCTGCAGACCTCAGGTGCTCACCAGCCAGGGTGCCTCAGGCCCCCCCAGAAGATGCCTCTTTCCTCCATCAAGCCCAGATGACACACAGTAGGTGTGCAGGACACAGCTGTTGGGCTGCACATGCTAGGGAGGCAGGACAGTCGCTTTCTGGAACTCATTCTCCAGGGTGAGGGGCACCCCTGCCTGAGATGGGCATATCTGGGGCCCCTGAGGACATGGAGGGGACCAGCTGTCATAGCAGCATTGAGCACATGGCTGGCCCTGTCACAGCTTGCTGGGGCCTCAGTTTCCCCCTCTGGAAATCCAGCAGTTGACCTTGATCTGGAAGTCTTTCAGGGCTGACACTGCAGACTTCTTGAGTCTCAATCCTAAGACTCTCTTATCTCTTCAGAGCCTCCCAGGTCTGGGGGTCACTGGCCACACACCCACTTTCTCCCTGTCCAGACCAGAGTAGGCAGCAGGCAGGGTGTGGGCAGCCAGAGTGGTGGTCCCTGCAGCTGCCACCTGGGCACCCTGGCCAGGAGTGCTCAGAGGTCTCAGGTGATGCTGGGGGTGGAAGATACCTGCCGTGGGACTAGGCTCACTGTCAGAGTTGAATTGTAAGCTTCTGGGTAACTCCTTCTGCTGTTACCTGAGGAGCTGGTCTGATTCTTACAGGGCCTCTGGTCAGTTTCTGGGCTCAGAGAGGGCCAGACAGCCACCTGTGGACACACAGTAGCTGGTCCCAGATCTGGGCCTAGAATCTGCTGTACAGATCCCCATGTACCCTCCTCTGTCCCTCCAGTAACCAGCCCTGCTGCCTGACCTGTCCACACCCCCACAAAGACCCTGCCCCTCCCTTGCCACCCTTCTTTTCTGCCAGGGTATATGGCTGCAGCCGCCAGGAGCCCGTGCTGGAAGTGCTGGCCTCAGGCTCCATCATGGCAGTGGTCTGGAAGAAAGGTCTGCACAGCTACACTGACCCCTTCGTGCTCTCTGTGCAGCCTGTGGCCTTTGAGGGTGAGAAGCCAGGAGCCCTGGGGCAGAAGTGGGACAGAATCCTGGGTCCTTCCCAGAGCAGGCCTTCCCAGGTCCCTGCCGGGCCCATGGAGTGACCGCTGGCTTCACCCTGGGGTCTCTGACAGATTTGTGTGTGTAGTGACCTTGCCCCATGGAGAGGTGGCCAGGGCAGCTGCAGAGACCCCTGGCCTGGGCCTGGGCCTGGCAGCCAAGCTGCCCCTCTCTTCCCAACCTCATCGCTTTTGTTTGGTGGTGCTAGGGCTTGAAACGGGGCCTTGCATGTGCTAGGATATCGCTGTACCACTGAGCTCCACCCTGGCACCTCTGAACCTCATCTTAGAAAAGAGGAACAACTCTCCATCCAGTTGCCATAGCTGAGAGGTTGGCACTGCTGTGAATACATTTTGTCAACTGCCGAGAGCAGAACTACCAATGCCAGTACTAACGTTTATTGAGCCTTTAGCATGCCAGGCTGTTCGAGCATTTTGTCTATGCAGCTGGCTCAAATTCTCTGCTATGACTGTCCCCATTTACAGATGAGGAAACTAAGGCTCACTTCCAGAGGTGGTGGGGTGGTGAGCTGTCAGCTGCCCCACCTGGTGGGAGGTACCGGGCTGGGGCCAGGGGTCCCTGTGTAATGGCTGTTCCCGGGCTCAGCCTGCCAGGTGAACCTGACGCTGGAGGGCCGGCTGGACCCACAGGGTGCCCTCAGCACACCCTACTTCCCCAGCTACTACTCTCCCAGCACCCACTGCTCCTGGCACCTCACGGTGAGCCACACCCACCCTGCCCTCTGTGCAGGGCGCCTCACAGGCTCAGAGGCTGAGCCTTGGGCATCAGTCCCATAGGGGTGGGGGTGGGGGACAGCTGTATCCAGGGTCTCCCTCTGTTGGTGACTGTGATGTCTGTTTGTTGAGTGACTGACAGACTTCAACCCCAGCCAAGGCTCTGTGTGGCCTTCTCTCTCTGCCCTCGGGGGAGGTGGGTGCACCAGCCTGGCCGTATCTGTTGGGCCACCAGTGTCGCTTTCCTACCTGCCAGGTGCCATCTCTGGACTACGGCTTGACCCTCTGGTTTGACGCCTATGCTTTGAGGAGACAGAAGTACGGCCTGCCTTGCACCCAGGGACAGTGGACGATACAGAACAGGAGGTACCCACCTCTGCCTGCTGTGCCCCCCAGCTCCACATGGGAGCCAAGTTCCTGGCTCAGAGGGCAGAGGAGGAGGGGGGGGGCGGCTTAAACCAGCTTGCGGTTCTTGGCCCCGCCCCTGGCGCTGGGCCCCACCCACCGCTGGGCCCCACCCACCCTAACCCCTCCTGGGCCCCGCTTCTCCTGGGTCACAGCCTCAGCCACCTTGTGGTCAGCCTCCTTGGCTGTGGATCCCAGTCAGGGTGAACTGGTTTCATGTCCTTGGGTGCTGTAACCTCATGCCCAGCATCCAGACTCAATGAGGTGATGCAGGGGACCTGGATGCAGGTGCTTGAGAGATCCTCAGACGCAAAAGTGCCGGAGGGAGGGGGCGTGCCTTTTCCCCTGCCCTGGCTCGCAGCTCGTGCAGTCTGCCCCCAAGAGGCCCTGCCTGCATTCCCTGCGTATGCTTCAGGGCACCCACCCTCGGCCACTGAGAGAAGGAAGTTTCTGGCCAAGAAATGAATTCCCCTGGGGCACTGGGCAGCAGGCTGAGGGGTCTGCAGTGCCACGCACTGTGGCCAGGGTCAGCATGGCTGCTGTGCGGCCAGGTAGAGGACAGGTAAATGGTCCCTTCAGGTGACCAAAAGCCACTGCCATCCTGCCAAAGGACCAGGCTGGGCCGAGGACAGGTAAAGGAAGGAAGGAAGTATAGCCATGTTTTCCAGTGTCTGGGGAGAAGAGGGACCTAGGAAATTCAAGGGGACATTTCAGATGGGAGCGGGACATCCTGCAGAGGGAGAAGGGCGGGGGTAGGAGGTACCGGGAACTGGGGAGAGAGAGTGGGGAGCAGCCATTACAGAACTGGGACCCCTCCCACCCAGGCCCAGGGTGAGGGTCGCTCTGTCAGGGACACTGACATCCAGTGGCTGGTGGGCCGCTGTCCTCCTTGCCACGCTAGGATTCTGGGAGCCTAACAGGCTGGCGTTCTAGAATCCTGGATTTCTTGACTTGGAGAGTTTGAGTGTGTAGCCTTTTGATGTGGGGCGTAAGGAAGGCTCTGGGACGCTGGGACCTTGCCTTCTGCGGGTCGCAGCCCCGTTCACAGCACTTATACTTAGCCTGTGGGCGGGTCCTATAAAAGGATCATCCAGACAATTTCCTCGCCCAGGCTTTTTGCAGCGTATCAGCACCTGTGAGGGACTGGAGCTTGTGCTCTGGGGTGACAGGCTGGTGGTGGACTTCAGGCCTGGGCTGTGTGGGCAGCAGAGGGCATCTCCAGGCATGGCTGCTCTGCTCCTTCCTGGACTCCTGAGGGAGCTCCCTGGCTGCCACCCATGCTGAGGAGGGCTGGGCTCACCCCTCGGTGTCAGAGGCCCGGAGCCCCCTGAGACTGGCCCATGAGTCACAGCTCTGTGAATAAAGATAATGACCTTTCCAGGCTCCCGACCTCTCCAGAGCTGAACCTGGTATGAGGGCTGAAGGCTTGCTGGTGAGGTGCAGCTCAGTGGTAGAGCACTTGTCCAGCAGCTGTGAGGCTCCAGGCTCCATCCCCAGCACTACAAATAAGGGGGGCATGAAACAGGCCCTTTTCCTGCTGCAGACTAAATGAGCTGACCTGGGGGACGTTGGCATACTCGGGCCTTGAGAAGGCGCAGCTCTGTGTGGCACTAACCACACAGTAATAACTGGCTCACTCTGCACCAGGCATGCTCAGAGCTAAGGGGTTACAGTGCCATCTCCCCCATTCTCAAGACCCCACCAAGGATATGAATACTCATGACAGTGGCCTAGTCTTCTCTATAGCTGTCACAAAATGTGTGAGGCTGAGTAGTTTATGAAGAATAGAGGTTTATTTGGCTCACAGTTCTGGAAGCTGGCAAGTCCGAGAGCATGGACTGGCATCTGCTGGGTTTCATGCTGCCTTGTAGCAAGCCATGTGTGCGCATGTCTGTGTGTGTGTGTGTGTGTGTGTGTGTGCGCTCACACCACTCGAGATGCCTCCCCCAGAGTCTCTGAGAACCCACGGCAGCTGCTAGCCGCCCACCCGTGGGCACTGGATGAGAGAACCAGCCTTCTCCAGGCTCTCAGCTAGGTCCTCCAAGAGCCACCTGGGAAACCCAGCCCAGTCTTCTGAGCTCTGCTAGGGTCCAGTGTCCCCATGAAAGAAGTGTGTCACCTCTCCCGGGCTCTAGCGCCTGCCTGGTGTGGAAAGGGCTGCTCCCTGTCGCTGGTGCGGGTTTTGATAACCATCATCCTCCCATCCTCTGTAGCTGCTGGGAAATTCTTCGAATGAGTATTCATTGGAAAATATGCTGTGTGGGTGGCGGAGGCAGGAGAGGCCTGGGGAAGGGTTTGCTGGGAGGGGGAGGCCCAGTCTTTTGGGCCAGAAAGGCAGTGGGTAGGGAGACACAGAGGGCAGGTCAGGGAGAGGGGTCTGAGCACGCAGGTGCCAAGTGTCGTGACAAGGAAGGCACTGCATGGGACTCCTCTGAGCCCTCTGTCCCCCTCCCCTGACCTCTCCGTTTTCTGCCAGTGTCTCCTAACCCAGCCTAGACCTCCTGCCCTTTTGTGGCTTAGGGGCAGTGGTGGGACTTGTCCCCAAGAGATCCGGCTACTGGCTGCTGGTTTCGCAGAACTCGCTCCAGGTGGTGCCACCGCAGCAATCTTCCCCCTTTCTGGGAACCTGGCCCTCGACAGCTTCCTCTCCTATGATGTCACTTCCCTTGTGACCTGCCCAGATATTTCCCCTGCCTCCTAGACGTGAGGTCAGGAGACCCGCAGGCTCCCGAGGCCCGTGGAGTCCCCTGGGGCCTGGCCTGGCTCTGTGGCCCTTTTGTTCCCCAAGCCCCTGAGTGGCAAATGTCACCTGCAATTGCCCCTGTGCTGAGTGCTGGCCATGCTGAAGGTGGCCCTGCAGCTTCACCTATGGGAGCCAACAGCCTGATAATGCAGCACGTGCTATCCCAGAGACCACTTGGTCAGGTGTCCCCAAAGACACCCCACACTGGGGGGAGCTGCCACCCCACCTTCCCAGTGTGGCATGCTTGCTCAGGTTTGCTGAGGTGGTGCCATGTACTGGAAATCATGCAGCTTGTTTAGGGAGGCTCAAGACTCAGCTCAAGGCCAGGCTCAAGACTCAGCTCTGCAGGGCCAGGTCTGCTGCTCCGGCCACCTTTCTGGACACCACTGTCCCTTGTTTGGTTTTTTTTTCAGTACTGGAGATGAAACCCAGGGCCTCTGCACTGAGCTACATCACCAGTTCTTCTTTTCTTTTTTTATTTTGAGACAGGGTGTTGCTGAGCTACTAAGTTGCCAGGTTAGGCTTGAACTTGTGATCCTTGTCCTCCCAGAGTGCTGGGGTCACCGGCGAGTGCCCCACGCCCAGCTTGCTGTCCCTCTTTAGTGGTTATCTTCTCTGAACCCCTTCCCTGTCCTTAGGAAAGGGCATGTGTGAGTGAATCTCTCCTTTCTTTCCTTCCTTCCTTTTTCTCTCTTCCTTCTCTTTCTTCCCTCCTTCTCTTCCTGTTCTTACCCACCCTTTGACCAATCCTCCCAGTATTTCTCCAATTCCTCCTGGGTACCCAAGCTGAGCAGGTTGCTCAATGCAGCATGTGCCTCCTGATGCCTGGCAGTGGGATGAGGGGTGGGCAACCCCATTGGCCCCTGGTGCTCCCTGGTGAGGGCTTGGTGGACAGGAGGGACAGGAGAGCCAGGGAACATGCTCCCCACCTAGAAGGCTCTGCACAGGAACAAGAAACTCAGCTGGGCCAAGGGGCCGGGCCGGAGTGAGGCTCCTCAAGGTGGCTGCCCAGGGAGAGCTAAGGTCCCAGCCACCAGGGCTCCACGCCCTGCCTACTTGTCCCAGCCTGTTTCCAGGGTTTCTTACTTTCATTGTGTGAAATTAGATGGCAGCTACAGTAAAAATAATCCATGCATTGCACAGATGAAACAGGCCATCTTTGGGTTGCATCTTTAGGTCGCATGACTTGGTGTGAGTCACTGGACTGCAGCCTTTTGCAGTCTCATCTGGACCCCCAAGGAGGGGATCCCCGGGGATCCCCCTGACCCGCTGCAGGCATCTGCAGGCAGGTGCCCAGGCTGTAGGGTTGAGTGTCCTGGGAAAGCTGCACCAGCCACGGGCTGAGTCTGGGATTCTTGGGGTCACCAGCAGGCAGTGTTGCGTGGAAGGCACTGGAGCCTTAGTACTCTGCCCACAGATCAGGATGATACTTTGGCTTTTAGGTGAAAGGGCTCCGCTCCCCTCTGGTGGGCTCTGCTTCCTCCCCTATCACCCCACAACCTCCCTGATCTTCTGTGCGCTGGTGACACATTCGGCTCCTCATTTCCCCTGCCCAGTGTTCCCCGGCCCCTAGCTCCCCTGACCACTTCCTGGAGCTGTCTCCGAGCATAGCAACCTGTCACAACATGTTTATCCACGTCAAAACTGACTTCCACAGGTTGTAAAGGTCAGGAGGAGCCAGGCTTGCTCCGGGGCGCCCCCTCCTGGCGTCTCATTCATGTCCTGTGCAGCTGGGTTGTGGGAATCTTGCTGGCGGTCCAAGGTTTTCAAAATGTTCTATCTTGGGACCCCTTTAACTGTCTTTAAAATGACTGAGCACCCTGAAGAGATTTTGCTATTACAGATTATATATCTGCATTTACAGTATGAGAAGTTAAACCTCAGAAAATTTTAAAAATGTTTATTACAGCAGCTCCCCTCCTCCACAGTATCAGCCACAGGCAACGGAGGTCTGAAAATATTCAGTGGAAAATTCCAAAATTAATTCATGAATTTTAAATAACTTTCATTTCATTGCCACAACTGCTCTATTTTATTGTTAATTATTGCTATTGGTCTCTTATTGTGTGTAATTTGTAAATTAAAGTTTATCATAGATATATTTATCTACAGAGAAAATAGTGTACTTAGGGTTTGGTACTACCAGTGATTTCAGACACCCACTAGGGGTCTGGGAATGTATCCCTCATGAATAAGAAGGGACAGCTGTAATTCCTTTAAAATAATATAACCAGATGTGGAGGAGCACACCTGTAATCCAGCACTCTGGGAGGCAGAGGCGGGAGGATGGCAAGTTTGAGCCCAGTCTAGGCAACTTAGCAAATTTAGTGAGACTATGTCTTAAAATAAAACAAAACAAAACAAAACAAAATAAACAACGAAAGGGGATGGATGTGGATTTGTGTGAAGGCCCTGGGTGCAATCCCCAGTACTGAAAAAAACTCTATTATGTATTAGCATAAACATTTTTATTTTATGAAAAATTGTTTCTCAAAACCAAAAACATGTAGAGGCACAATGTCATTATTTTACATTTTTTGCAACTTGAATAACTGGCTGAGAAGACCACGACTGATCCCTTAACCTGCTTCTGCATTCGGTCACTTACGATTCACGTATCACAGAGTCCCTGGAAAATCTTGCTGTTTGGTTGTGAGAGAATGGAGACAAAACAAAAAGGAAAAGCCACCTGAGCATTACTATTAAAACGATTTGGGGCCCTGTGGGGGGTTCCCTGGACTGCACTTTGAGAACTGCTGGTGGAATAAGCTCAAGAATGTGGGGCTGGGGTTTTAGCTCAGTGGTTTCGCCACCTCGCAAGCGAAAGGATCCGAGTTCGATCCCAGGTACCAAAAAAAAAAAAAGAACGTGGTTACTGTAGTCAGGCAGAGTCTAGGCCAGGCCCCTGGGAGCAGGTGGGATTTGAGGGGCTCAGTCAGTCCCCAAAGCTCATATTGAAGTGGGAATCAGGGTGCCCTCCCTCTGGAGCTGTCTGGAGTCCATCCCCACCGTGGCTCCTCCTCATCAGCTTCTCTGTGACCCAGCTGAGAACAGTCCTCCTGGCCACCTGGGGTCACAGGGAGAAACTCAGAGTCCCTGTGCATGAGGACAGTAGAATGCTCTCAAGGCCCATGGTCCAGTGTTTGTTGATTGATTAACTGATGGACTCATTGGCCTGTTGGGCACTAACCATGCTCTGGAGTTCTGAGGAAGTGTCTGGCTCTGAGAACGAGGTAGCCACTTGGGGGTGCTGTGCATGAGCAGGAGGGATGCTCACACTATGCTCTGGGGCATATCTCTTCCCCTCCCTCTTCTGTCCCTCCTGGGGCCATTTTCACCCTCCTTGGCCTGTGTTCCGGGTGTGTCCCCCACCTGCACAGGCCTCCTCTTTGCCCATCGGGGACACCATGCCCTGTGAGCTTGTGGGGCCATCCCATCCCACTGGTTCTGTGAGGATGCCCCACTAGGGATGGGAGGGACCCCGGCGGTCTGTGGGGAGGCCCCACCTTTCTGGGGGTGGCTGCATGGCTCTGGGAAGGTGTGCCACTGACTGTGGGAGGTGTGGCTGATTCCCACCCAGAGAAGGGCTCCACCTGCCCAGGCTGAATAGAGCCCCTTCTTGGAGGGAAGGGGGTTGTCCAGCAGGATGACGGCGTGCCTGGGGCACCCACCTGGGTGTCACCATGCAGGAGACACGGCCGTCGGCACTGTGCTATGGGTGCCCAGGGGAACTGCCGGGGTGCAGAGCCATCAGCAGCCACGCAGGGATGGAATGGGGACTCTGTGCTCCCTTGCCCCACACCGAGCACCAGAGCTTGGTGTCTTCTGTCTACAGCGGACCGGTCTGGATCTTTTGGATCTGTTGACATGTGGAAGCCTTTTCTCAGCTCTGAGGTCAACAGAAATGAACATTTTCCTTATTTAAAAAAGGAAAGAAAGTGAGACTTAGAGAGGGGCCCTGACTTGCTGGAACCTCACAGCCCACAGGTGACTGAGACTAGAATCTAGACTTTGAATTTTATCCCACAGACAGTGGGGGCCATCCGAAGATTTTAAGCAGAAGAGTGACATAGCCAGGGTGCTTTCTAGAAGATGACCTTGGGGTGAGCGGTCACCCCAAGGAGAAATCAAGACCGAGGAAGTGGGGCTGGGGGTGCAGTTCCTTATTCCTTCTGGCCACCCTATCTGCCCAGTCTGTGCACAGGGCCCAGGCTGCGCCACCCCTTGTGCTGGGAAACTGGCCTGTGCATCCCTGAGTTGTCTCTGGTCACCCCTAGGCTGTGTGGCTTGCGCACCCTGCAGCCCTACGCTGAGAGGATTCCTGTGGTGGCCACAGCTGGGATCACCATCAACTTCACGTCACAGAGCCCCCTGACAGGGCCAGGTGTGCGGGTGCACTATAGCCTGTACAACCAGTCGGACCGTGAGTACGGGGGCGGGTGGCACCCCAGCCCCAGGGTCCCTTCCTGCCCTAGGTGTCCCTGGATGTGGGCAGCTGAATAGGAGGCTGGACCGCAGCTGCCACTGCGTGTGGATGTGTGTGTGCAAGTGCGTGTGTGCAAATAGTTATAGGCAGCATTGGGGCTCCAAGTGGGTCTGTCACGTGTTCACACACACCCACACATATGTTGTACGTGCATGTCTGAGAGTGTGCAGTTGCATGAACTGTGCACACAGAGCCACCATGCTGCTGTCCCTGGGAACCTGCCAGGCATGGTGCACACAGGCGCTGCCATCTGCCTGTGTTGCATGACCCTGTGTGTCCTCCCTGGTTCCCAGCCTGCCCTGGTGAGTTCCTCTGCTCCGTGAATGGACTCTGTGTCCCTGCCTGCGATGGGATCAAGGACTGCCCCAATGGCCTAGATGAGAGAAACTGTGGTAAGCAGCCCACCCGCCCACCTTTCCTGATTCTCTGTGCTGGGCTCAGCCGAGACCCTCATGAGCACCCAGGAAGTGGGTTCTCTTGCTGGGCTGAATGGCAAGATGGGAGCAGATGGGTAAGTGGCCTCCTGTGGCAGAAACAGGCTGGCTCTCCTGGCTTGGTTCAGGGCTTCTCCCCACCAGGCCAACAGCCCAGTCACCTGTTCTGCCCAGGGTTCCCTCAGAGCTTGGGTGGCCATGGTGAGGACCTTTATCTCCCTGCCTTGAATGGGGTCAGATTGGGAGCTACCAACCCTCTGTCCAGCCCCAGGAGAAGGAGCTCAGGGTCCCAGTGGTCCCCTAAGCCAGGGCTCTCTTAGGACAATATCTCTCCACCTGAATCCTGGCTCCTGTCCCTTGGTGCCACCATCCAGTCTGCCCGGCAGGAGATTCCCACCCTGCACTGCCCAAGTGTTTAGTGTGGAGAGAGAGCCGAGAGGGAAGGGAGCTGCCTCTCAGACCATCCCACTGTGGTGTCAGGGAAGGTGATTCATATTTGGAAACTGGACATTGGGCTTCCAGTTCTTGTTCAGCTAGTTGATCTCAAACAAGTCACTCCATCCCTGTTTCTGCCAACAAAATGGGGTATCTCACAGGGCTGCCGTGAGACCCAGGTGTTCAGTAGCAGAGAAAGGTGGGCAATGGGTAACAGGCTGTACACGTTCTATAGGCACCACCATGTCCCTGCCTGGTCCTCTGGCTTCCTCCCCTGTCCTTTAGTTTGCAGAGCCACATTCCAGTGCCAAGAAGACAGCACTTGCATCTCCCTGCCCCGAGTCTGTGACCGGCAGCCTGACTGTCTCAATGGCAGTGATGAGGAGCAATGCCAAGAAGGTAGGGTGGGTGTCTGAGACAAAATACCCAACACCCACAAGTTAAGGGAAGAAGATTTATTTAGCTCACAGTTTGTGGAGGTTTCAGTTCATAGTTAGCTGGCTCCAAGGCAGGGTAGAATGGCAAAAGGACATGAAGAGCAGAAATAGTTCATGGTAGGGCAGGCAGAAAGCAGCAAAGCAGTGAAGTATTGAAGCAGCAGCAGCTTGCCTCTTTCTTTATATTCCATCCAGACTACTCGCCTTTGGGTGGGCCACCCTTAATCCCAGCATCACACACCCTAACCCATCCACTTTCAAAACTCCCCACTGATGACTGCAGGCAGCTTTGGGAGGATATCTAGATCAAGCCATAACAGCAGGGCCTGGCCAGGGATCTGGAGGGTGGGGTCAAAGAAAGGGTCACAGCCAGGCATTCCAGCCCTTTTGCATGCTTCTCAGTAAAGGCTTATGCCCACTTATCCAAATACCAGCAACTCTCTGTAGCTATGCTGGTGTGTCCATCCATCCTTCCATCCATCCATCCTTCCATCCATCACCAATCTCCCTAGTCACCTGTTTGCCCATTGGTCCTTATGTCCGCTGATTTGTTCACCCTTATAGCTGTTTGTCAGTCTCCCCACCGCCCATTTGTTGATCTGCTTAGTCTTCTGTCTGTGTCCATAGTTTTATCCTTCCTTCCATTCATCCATCTGACCAGGCAAGCAACACTTGCAGACTACTCAGTGACAGACAAGGAGGGGTGAGGAAGGAATAAGACACCAGAAACATATTTCCTGGGCTCCAGGGGTTGTTAGGTGAAGGACATGATGGCCAGTCTTCTGACCCAAAGTCATCTGGACCCCTGTCGTGTGGGAAGAATGGGGGTGGAAGCTCAGACATGGAAGCCTTCTGAGAGGAGGGCAGACTGGAATGTGAATAGATGGGCAGGTGGGAGGCAGGAAGAGTAGGAGTGACCAGGTAGTGGACAGGATGTTGGGTGCAGTAAGGAGCAGGGAGGCAGCTGGGGAGAGCAAGGGCCTAGGGGGCCCCTGCTTGAGGGACCCAGTCTGAAAGTGGGGGCACAGCTCTGCCTTCAGGGACCACACTGGAGGGAGGAGCATGGCCCTGTGGTGAGAGGTCCAGTCTGAGAGAGGAGACAGCCTCCCTCTCAGCAGACGAGTCCCAGTGTGATGTGTGGTGGGGACATGGCCTGCTTTTAGTAGACTCTAAAGGAGACTCAGGGGACCCTTTGTGTGATCAAGAGCCCCATCCCAGTGTCCTGCCAGCCCCTCCTGGCGCCCCGGGGCTCAGAGTCCCACCTCCCCATCCCCCAGGAGTGCCTTGTGGGACCTTCACCTTCCAGTGTAAGGACCGCAGCTGTGTGCGGAAGCCCAACCCTCAGTGTGACGGGTGGCCGGACTGCAAGGATGGCTCAGACGAGCTCCACTGCAGTGAGTGGTGGGGCACCAGCTGGACAGGACAGGGCGGGGACACGTGGTGGGGGCATCTCACCTTGCCTGTCTGTCCCTCTCCGTCTCCAGCCTCTGCTGCCTCCTCCTCCTCTTTTCCCTGTCTTTCCTCATCTCTTTCCTCCGCTCTGCCTCTCACCAGCCTCTCCCTGCCCTCCTCCTCTGCCCACCCCCAGACTGTGGCCTCCAGGGCCCCTCCAGCCGCATCGTAGGCGGGGCCGTGTCCTCTGAGGGCGAGTGGCCGTGGCAGGCCAGCCTCCAGGTTCGGAGCCGACACATCTGTGGGGGCGCCCTCATTGCTGACCGCTGGGTGATCACAGCTGCCCACTGCTTCCAGGAGGACAGGTGAGGGGCGCTGGGGGCCTGGACTGTGAAGATGCGGGCGGGGAGGCCATTCGGGGTGCAGTGTGAGCTCTACACAGACAGGGGGGTGCCTGGTGAAGAGCCCCCGAGACTGACTGCTGTGACCTTTAGATTTGGTCCTGGCTCCACCGGTAAGATGCTCCGTGGCCCTGGGCACACTGCTCAATCTCTCCGTGCTCCTTGTGCTATTGTGCTTTAGGTTGGGCCCATGAGTCATGCACTTCAAAGTATTTGTTGTGCTCCTCCTATGCCCCAGGGGCTGTGCTAGATGCTAGGATGGGGTAGAGGACAGAACCTGAGCTGTGGCGGGCAGGCAGGGAAGCCCACCAGGTCAGCTCATCAGCCCACACCCTCTGCCATCTGGCTGGTGGGCTGAACGTCCTTCCACCCCAGCCAGATCTGGGCTCCGAGTCCCCAGGCCCTCACACTGCAGAGGCCAGCTTTCTCCTGTGTCTTCTTTGGCCACCAGGCTGTCGTGGCCAGGCAGCTCTGGCCACCTGGACCCTGGCTCCCCACTGCCCTCAAGGTGAAGACCCTCCCTAAGGCTGCTGACAGCAGTGTCCGGGGGTCTGCATGGGCACTCCCTGCTGATTCTTGCACTCAGCCCCCAAGTCCTCACCCCAGGACTGGTGAGCCTTGGAGGTCCCCACAGCCCTCTGTAAAGTGGGCACGCAAAGAACAGAGACTTGTGGCCAGTGCGTGGCACTGCCTAGTTTTTTTTTTACATACACAGACTTCTCGGAGTCCACTAAGGGCATCTGAGTAGAAAGTGTGCTTCCTGTGTCCCAGATGAGGGGACGGAGGCCTGGGGAGGCACCTGCTTACCCAGGGAGGGATGAAGGGGGCAGGTGGGTCCAGGGGACACTCGGCAGCATAGGGGAGGGAGGCTAGGGGCGTCCTCAACGCTGAGCTGGGCCACCCTCCCCGCGCACCTAGCATGGCCTCCCCGGCGCTGTGGACCGTGTTCCTGGGCAAGATGCGGCAGAATGCCCGCTGGCCCGGTGAGGTGTCCTTCAAGGTGAGCCGCCTGCTCCTGCACCCGTACCACGAGGAGGACAGCCACGACTACGACGTGGCCCTGCTGCAGCTCGACCACCCGGTGGTGCGCTCCGCCAACGTGCGCCCGGTCTGCCTGCCTGCGCGTTCCCACTTCTTTGAGCCGGGCCTGCACTGCTGGATCACAGGATGGGGCGCTCTGCGAGAGGGCGGTGAGCAGGCCGTGGGTGGGGCTGTGGGAGCGAGGGCCAACATCCGGGTCCTCTGTGAAATCCACAGAGGCGACTCACAGCATGGCTTGTGGACCCCGCCCCTTACTCCGCCCCACTCGCATAAAAGGAGAACACAGGTTGTTGGCTATGCGTGGGGGCAGAGGGGGAGGCCTGGGACGCCACAGCTAAGGGCAGGCTCCTGGACAGAGGTTGGGGTGGAAGTGTGTTGGGGCAGGCCCCTAATAGTGGCCTTTTTTTGTGCTTGGCATTGAACCAAGGCTTCTGCTCACACTAGGCAAGAGCTCTACCGCTGCCTCGGCCATACCTCTTTCCTTTCTTTTTTCAGAAAAAAAAAATCTAGCCAGGATTTAGCTCAGTGGTTCCACTGGCTGCCTCACAAGCACAAGGTCCTGAGTCCCAAAAAAACAAAAGACAAAAAAATTTAAAAAAGAGTCTTGTTCAAGGCTGGCCTTGAACTTGCAATCTTTCAGTCTTGGCCTCCGGAGTAGCTGGGATTACAGCATGTGCTCCTGCACCTGGCTCTTAATTAGTTATACACTGTAGACTGGATTTTAGGGGAACATGATTGCATATAATTCATTCAGTTTAGGGCTGGATCTCACGGCTCCATTTTATAGGCGTCATTTAGCAGTTGCTAAGTCACACTGCCAGAGAATTAGGCAGCGACTGAAACCCAGGCCTGCCTCACTCCACACCCCCGCTCCCAGCGGCGGCTCCCAGAAGGGGGCTTTCTCTCCTCCACAGCTGACTGACCAGAGCTGGCTGTCCCCAAGCTACCCCTCAGCTCTGTGGACACAGGCTCAGCTGTGTCACTGTGGCCTTGGGCTGCAACCTTCATGGTGGGGGCTTCAAACATGTGTGCAATGACTTACCACCTGGAGGGAGGTGGGATGGTAGTTATTTTTATTCTTTTGTGGTACTAGGGATCGAACCCAGAGCCTTGTGTATGCTAGGTAGGTATCTGCCCCTGAGCTACACTCCTGTACAGAGCCCTGTACAGAAAAGAGAAAACTGAGGCTCAGATGAAAGGGGACTTGTCAAAGAGGATAACAGAGTAGTAGCAAAGCAAAGACTAGTTCCCTCACTAATTCGTTCATTCATTCAACACATATATGAGCACCTGCTGTGTGCCAGGCACCAAGTTAGGCAAAACAGATATAAAGATGAAAGGAGAATGGTCTGGGGGACACAGTGCAAGAGCTGACGCAGATGGGGAGGAGCCCAGACATTGGCAGCAGACCCTACCAGGCAGTCGAGGAAGGGTCTGGGAGGAGGCCTCCCGTCTAAGCTGAGGTATAGAGGCTGAGCTGGCAGCCAAGGGGAATAGGGAGGTTTCCCAGCAAAGGCACAGGTGTGGAACAGGAAGACCAAAGGACAACAGTAGCAGCAGCCAGAGGGGAGCGGGGGGGTGGTGGGGCAGAGGGGAGATGTAGCTGGTGAGGGTCTCAGGAAAGGCCAGCAGGGCCTTGCAGACCACCATTAGGATCCTGGGCCAGGTGTTCTGTTCCTCACCTGCACTTGGGTCTTCAAATCCCTGATGCCCAGGCCCTGCCCTAGATGAATGAGGCCAAGTCTTGGGGGGAGCAGGTGGCAGGGTCTATCAGAGCTCTCCGGGGGACCCTAACACATAGCACTGGGGCTGGACAGCCAGGGCCATGGAAGAGCATTCAGGGGACAGTGTAGCCTCTGGAAACTTGGCCAAGGGATGCGGCAGAGTACAGGGGAGCCCGCTGGGCCAGGAGCATTGAAGTGGGAGGAGGGGGAAGAGAAGCTGGAGGAAGACCTTGGTCCAAAGGGCCCGAGCAGAGGGACAGTGAGGCAGAGGAGCAGAGCAGGAGAGGTGGAGGGGCATCCTGAGATAAAGAAGGGGGCAGGAAGCGCGGGGGGCTTTTGGGCACTCTAGATCTTCTCACTCCTGCCCTCGACCCCACGGCAGGCCCCACCAGCAATGTCCTGCAGAAAGTGGACGTGCAGCTGGTTGTGCAGGACCTGTGCAGCGAGGCCTATCACTACCAGGTGACACCACGCATGCTGTGTGCTGGCTACCGCAAGGGCAAGAAGGATGCATGCCAGGTAACACCGTGAGGCTGGCAGGAGGGAGAGGGTGACGCTCACACATGCAGGGCCTGTCCTTTCGCTCACGTCAGCCTGGTGAGCCTCGCGGCCATCCAGCCTCCCAGCAAGGTGGACAGCCACCACCCACCCACTTCACAGATGAGGGGCAGGCCGGGAGAGGTGGAGGGACACTGAGCAGGGGAGACCTCAGGCATGGAGAGCTCAGGCTCAAACCCAGGGCCACAGAGTAGAGAGGACAGAAGGAGGAAGGGAGGCAAGGTGGAGCAGGATGCAGGGACACCCACCCACAGTTCCCGAGGGCCGGGACCTGCTGGAGGCCGGGCAGTGCTGTGCTGCTTCACTGTTCACTGGGTCTGGGGAAGCAGAGCTTCAGATGGGGGTGTGCTGCTCTTGCTGCCACTGAGCAAATTCTTGATGCAGCCCCTCTCCTCTCCTCCTCTCAGGGTGACTCTGGTGGCCCGCTGGTGTGTAAGGAGCCCAGTGGCCGCTGGTTCCTGGCAGGGCTGGTCAGCTGGGGCCTGGGCTGTGGCCGGCCCAACTACTTCGGTGTCTACACTCGCATCACAGGTGTGATTGGCTGGATCCAGCAGGTGCTGACCTGAGGTCCTGTGAGCCGGGCCCACCTCTTGGACAGAGTGCACAGGGCACTTGGCAGGCAGGGGAGCTAGTATTCTGGGGGCAAGTGGCCCTGTGGAGGCAGGAGGTAGCATCCTGTCCCCACCATGGCCCAGTGACTGCACAGGGAGGGAAGGGCCATCAGCCCACTGGCCAGGTCTGATGGGCCGGTCTGGGGGCGGGGGTCAGACCCAACCCTGTCACCTCCCAATCGATCCTCTTGGTCTCCTCCTTCCCTCCCTCCACACTGTCTCAGGGGTACTCAGAGGGCTGATGCAGGTCCCCGTCCCAGGGGAAGGGTCCGAGGTGCCCTCCTGCAGGCAGAGCCTGCCTGCACCTGTGCAGCTCTGGCTCCAGAGCGATTCCTCTGCCCCACCCTGGGGAGTGGGAGGTGTCCCTGCCAGAGGGGACCCCCAGGGCCCTGGAGACCCCAAGTGGGCAGCTGCTACCATAAGCCAAAGGGTGGGGAAGCCTCAGCTGGAGGGTCCCCACGCACCCCTTCCCACCAGACCCAAAGGGCCGCTCACTCACTGGGAATAAAGCGCCTGACCAATGAGGCTCTGCTGCTGTCTGCCTGGGAACCAGCCCAGCCTCGTGCCCTAGACTGAGCAGACTGGCTTCCTGCTCAGCCTGTGCGCCAGGCATCCAGAAGGCACTGAGGTGGCAGTGGAGGCCAGAGGGCTGGAAGGCCACGGTTTGGGGACCCTCAGGTCATGGGGGTAGGGGTGATGTATCCCTTCTGGAGCCCTGGGAGGAAACAGGCTGAGAGAGGTACAAAGCCATCCTCATGATGGCACTGGGGGTTGGGAGTGGAGCTGGCTGTGGTACCCTTCCCCTCCAGCATGACACTTGCCTCCTGGCACCCCCTAGCCACTCACCGAGTGGGCATTTCCTGGGCTCCTTTGGGACCAGGCACTGTGCTGGGCCACAGAAGAGTGTGGCTCTTGGCCTCGGCATGGGGACTAGATGTTCCAGTCCAGGAGACACGAGGGGGTGTGACCTGAGAGGTCAGGGAAGCTTCCTGGAGGGTGTGTCCGGGGGCCCTTGAGGCAGAGGTGGGGCTTGGGCAAAGGGAGAGTCCCCACAGCAACCCAGTCCTGGGTAGAGCAACCCTGAGTCTTCAAAACTGAGACCGAGAAGGGACGACACTGAGGCTGGAAGACAGGCTTGGGGCTGAGCTAAGGATGTGACCCTGAGAGCTATAGGATCCCCAGGAGCCCCGAGAGCAGACATGACATGAGTAGATTTGCACTGTGGGGCCAGCCCTGGCACCAGTGTGGCAACAGGTGGAGGAGGGAGGCCAGTACAGAGCCCAGGGGGAAGGCTAGGCCTGGACAGAGCCAGGCAGCAGGGAAGGGCTGGTGACGGAGCTGAGGCCTGTGGGGTGTTGGGGGGAGGTCAGGTACAGCTCACTCCTCCTTGGAGCCTAACTGGGAGAAAGAAGCGCGGAGGCCAGGCCAGCTTTGGTGGCCACAAGGCAGTAGGTGGAAGGGGAGCGGAGGGCGCCTCGCCAGTCCTGCGGAGAGGGTGGGCAGGGTGGGTCAGAGTCGCGTGCCCCACGGATCGGCAGACTGAGGTGTGATCCCTGGGGTGCTCTGCTAAAACTGAAGTTCCTGGGCCACCCCAAGTTGTGGTGCGGGGGGGGGGGGCTCCCGGGGACTGACAAAGGCGGACACAGGAGTGAACTCACCTTCCAGAGTAAGTGTCCTCAGGGGATGTGGGGACAGCTGTGGAGTGGAGAGCCTGCCCTGGGGGGGCACTGCACCTGAGGGGGATCACTGCTGGGTGGGGGGAATGGAAAGGACTGGCCTGGCCAGGCAGGAAAGGGAAGCCGGGTGTCCAGAGCCTAGGAGAGGGATGAGCGGAGACCTGGGCACTGGTACCTCCCAGGATGGGCAGGGTGGCAGCAGCAGGGTGGAGGGTGTCAGGACAGGGAGGGCCATCCTGAGGTCAGGATGCAGCTGGGGCCCCAAGTGTTTCTGTGGCAGGGCAGGGCAGGGCAGGGCAGGGCAGGGGAGGGGAGGTGCTGTTGGCCTCCAGCCACATTCCAACCTGATCTTCAACACAGATGGTTGATGGCCAGAATGGCCCTGGGTGGGTCTGTCCCACCTGGAATTTGGCCCCTGTCCCCAGCAGTGGCCTGGAAAAAGAGGCAGCCAGGCTGTTTCTTCAGTTTATTCTGTGAAGGACTGGGACGCAGCTGAGGTCGGCATTCACCCTGGCGGTCACACACAGAGGGCCCCTGCTGAGGCCTGCCTTAGCCAGCCTCTGCTCCAAAAGAGGGAGGGGTCCAGCCCTTATCACAAATCCCTGAGCTGCTCCCAGCCCTGCTGGCTGGGCAGGGTGCTCTTCAGCCACTCACATGGGTGGGCATGGGGACAGCCAAGGTGAGGGTCAACTCACCTACCTCTTCCTTTGGAAAGGGCTGAATCCCCACACCCTTCTTCCCAATACCCAAATCTATTGGCCAGCAGTGTCAAGCTTCAGGGTTAGGCTGGGCCTCCCTGGGACAGATGAGGGAGGGCAGCCTCAGACTCCTGAGGGCTTTCAGGGACTCTGCTCCTTGCTGTACCCCACAACAACCGTGTGAGGTGGGTGGGCAGGAGGGGTACGACACTGACAGGGAAACGCTCAAGGAGGTGATGTGCCGGGGCCAGGAGGGAGTACATCCGCCATGCAGCAGGGGGGACTGGGCAAAGGGACAGAGAGGCCTGGCAGACACAGCTGGACAGTGCTACACTTGGGCCAGGGGCAGGCGGCTCTGCCCAGAGGGCCAAGGGCCCACCACAGGCCTCGTGAGGTCTTAGGAGGCCCCCAGCCCGCCACCAGAGGCAGGGGTAAGTCACAGCCCTGCAGGTGTAGACAGAAGGGGCAGGGGGGAGAGGGCGTCTTCCTTCTGGGGCCAGGGGCCCACCCGGTGGTACAAAAATAAAAGATTTCGGATCGTAACCCCAAGTCCCTGGAGGTGCTCTGGGGCCTCACAGCCGGGTGCCTCTGGCTTGTAATAGCTAGAAGATAAGAGGGGCAAGGGCAGGAGGAGAGGAGGGGTCAGGAGACCAGGGCCGGAGAGGAGAGTGAGGGGGAGAGGGGAGGAGGAGGGGGGGGGAGAGAGAGAGGCAGGTGAGTCACAGGTTGCTTCTGGAGGAAGAGTGGGGTTGAGGCCCCGAGAAGGTGGATTCAGAACCCAGGAGGAGAGGGTGGGAGGGGCGTCCAGCTAACCCATCTGGAGCCCCGAGCCCTGGGCCCAAGCCCTGAGCCCCGAGCCGAGCCCCAAGCCCAGCCTGGGCTGGGTGGCACCTGCGGGGAGAGGCGGGCCTCTGGTGGGGACAGGGCTGGAAGAGGCAAGTCACTGCTGTCCCAGGAAAGGGAGTCACACGGCAGCTGTCTGTCCCCACTTTAGAACCAAACCCAGGCCAGACTTGCCTAAGGTTACAGAGCTGGCAGAAGAGACTGAGTGGGGGCTCATGGGCACCTGGCCAGGGCTTTTCTACTGCAGTCCCATCCCTAACTGGCTCTGGCTGACTCCTCATTGGCCAAGGGTGTCAACATGTGGCCCGGCCTCCTGATCCCACAGAAATAGGGGACCCATGCCCTGTGTGGTGACGGGAGCTCTTGGGGTACCATGGCTGAGGCCAAGGCTTGGGGTCCCGGCTCCCCCTCCCCTACCTGGCCCAGGAGCTGGTGGGCAGACGGGAAAGGGCCCCGCCTCCTGACTTTCTGCTCTCAGAGCCTCACCCCAAGGCCCAGACATGTGCACCCTCCTGGCTTCCGCCCCTCCCTCCAGCTCCACCCACCGGGCTGCCAACCGGGATGGCAGCTCTGGGGCAGGCCTGGGGCCGGGGAGCAGGCTCGGGTCTGGAAGGGCACGGATGTGGCCCTGCAGGGAGAGGCGAGAGGTGGCAGTGGCAGGAGCCGGGCAGGGTGGTGCCCAGGGCTGAGGCCAACCTCAGAGCTGCCCGGTGGTGGTGGTAGGGCTGGTGGGCACACAGCAGGCACGGCTGTGTCCCTCCTCCCCAGGCTGGGAGGTGGGAGGGACCAGGAGGGGCGCGGGAGGCGGCGGCAGGCAGGATGCTCTGGGATGCGAGGCTGCAGGGCTTGGGTGGAGGGCGTGGGGGCCCGGGACCAGGGTAGTCCCAGGATGGAGGTGGGAGCAGGCAGAGAGGAAACCTGGACAGGGGCAGAGAGGGAGGAGGCAGGGTGCAGATGAGGTCCAGGAGCAAGAGGAGGTGGATGAAGATGAGGCGGGGCCTCCAGCGGGAAGCGGAGGAGGCGGTGGTGGGAGGGAGGAAAGGTTAGCGGGATCCTGAGATGACTGGGCTGCAAAGAGAAAGTGAGAGAAGGGATGGTTATGCAGGCGGGCAGGCGGCCAGGCGGCCAGGCGCCAGGCACTGAGCTAACCCTGCGGCCCACCCCCTCGGCCCGACCCGGCCGCAGCTGGCTCCAGCAGGGAGAGGGCGGAGGTCCGCTCGCTCGCTTGGCTGTTAGCAATCCTCCTCCTGGGGGTGGGCTGCACCTTTCTCCTGGGCATCTGCCTCCACCTGCACCTGTGCCACCTCCACCTCCTCCACCTCCTCCTCCTGCTGCTGCCGCTCCTCCAGCTGCTCCTCCGTGCTCTGTGGCCGCCGGCGGACCCAGGGAAGAGAGAGTGGAGACGCTAACGAGGGGGCCAGGGTAGCTGTCCCCACAGACCCCGATCTCAGGCCAGAGCAGGCAGGCAAGACGAAGGGGACCTCCAGAGAGAGAGGGTTAAAGCCACACAAGCTGGGGGCATCCTCTCCAGCCCCCGAGGAAGCGGCCAGCGGAGGCCTTTCAGGCTGGGACGTTTCAGGTCAGCCTGGCTACTGTCACACATGCAGGGGCCGGGGCAAGTGGGTGGAAGAGGAGTGGGTGGGCATGGCTGGGTATCTGCAAGGGCACCTGGCACAGTCTTGCTTTGGGAAGACAGATTCAGAATAGGGGCCAAGGGAGCACAGGGCAGCCACCTGCCAGGTCAGGAACACCAGCAGCAGCATCTGGTGACACGGAGGCAGAGTGGTGGGCTCACCCTTTAGTCCTCAAAGGCAGTGCCTGCAGCTGGCACCCACGGGGTTGGGGTGGACAGGGGAGTCACAGCAGGACAGGGCAGCAGACAGACAGACAGGAAGCTGGACTTTCTAAGCCTCCAGTCCACGGGCACAGGTTCCCAGGAGGAGTGGCCTCCCTGTTCCCAGCCTAGTCTGTGGACCCTACCAGAGGCCCCTGGGGCTTCCAGCCAGCTCAGGTTCAGGGAACAGGATCCCACTCTACCCCATCTACAGTGCTGATGCTGCCACGTGTCCCCCCAGGACAGCGTTCCTGGGCCAGGGTGGATAGCCAGAGCCAGGTCCCCGGGGTTCCTGATGCCCTTCATGCAAGGAGGAGGCCTGGAACGGGCAGGACTGGGGACATTCACCACCCCTTGGGAATCATTTATCCATCTGGAGCCCAGGGGCCCAAGCTCAAGGCAACAGAGTCCACAGTATACCCTGCACACTACACAGAGGGCAGAGCACAGAGGCCAAGAGGGGACAGGACATGTTCCAGGTCATACAGAGTGTCACACCAGGCCCTGACCCCCAGTTCAGCCACTCTGCCTCATGCCACAACACTCGTGGCCAGCATGTGGCCCCAATCCAGTGGCTTTGAGTGCCTCTGGCTGTGCCCCCAGGACGGGCCCATCTTGCTGCTCCCCAGCCTGGGCCTGCGTAACTGGTGTGTGCAGACAGGACCATGTGGCATGGGATGGATGGCGTGGGCTGTGACCATGGGGTTATGCGTGTGCTGAGGGAGGGAAAAAGCAGCTGCGGGATGGCGAGGGGCGGGCAGGGGTGTGGGCTCAGGTAGGTGGGCTCACCTTGGTCTTTCGGCTGGACTCTGAGCTCAGGCTGTTGGGGGAGCTATGCAGCTCCTTGGACACCACACACAGGAACTCTGCCTGGTCCTCACTGCCATAGTTGTAGGAGGAGCCGATGTTCACCAGCTGGGGGTGGGGTGGGGTGCAGGGGACAGATGAGGCTGAGTATCCTCTTAGCTGTGCTCTTGCCCAGATGCTCGGGTCGGGCTCCCGGCTTCCAGGACACCTCCCTTCCTACCTGTGCCTTTCCTGGCCTGGCTGGCTCTGAGCCCAGCCACACCCACACTAGACAGCAGCCTGGGTTGGCATGAAGGAGCCCCAAGGAACATCTGCTTCCCTCCTCGCAGCAGAGGTGGAGCCGGCGGCCAGGCCTTGGTCCAAAGGACAGATGGCTAGGGGTCCTCACCTGCTTGCTCTGTCCCTGAGGGCTGGGCCACTGCCAAAGACTCCTGTCCTAGGTCCCCACTACAGCCACACTCATGCAGCCCTCTGACTAAAGAGGTCCTGGCTCCTGGTGGGTCCCATTTGGCTCTCAGGGACCCTCTTTCAGCAGGCAAAGAAAATATCACCCTGCTAGTGGCAGAGCTGGCAGAGCTGGCAGAGGCTGGGAGGCCCCCAGCTGCGAAGCAGGACAGGGGTGGGAACCTGGGATCGAGCTGCATCCTCCCTGGAGCCTTCAAGACCTCAATGCTGTATTTCCAGCAGTTTGCACCACACTGGTGGCATCCTGCCCAGGCAGGGGTAAGTCACAGCCCCGAAGGTGTAGACAGAAGTGCCAGGGGGGAGAGTGCTTCTTGTGGTGGGATGTCACTGTGTGTATCCCTGGGACAATACTGCCTGTGACGAAAGCAATCCTGCTGGTAAAGGGCATCTGGCCTGGGAGGTGCCACTGGTCCCCATGCAGCCCCCGTAGGAAGCCTGCATGCGGCTCCCCTGAAGTTAACAGGGCTGTTCTCCTGGGGCCCCGGGGACTATGCTACGGAGCTGTTACAGAGGTGTGGACCAAGGTGAGTGCCCTCACCTCGGTCGCCCTCGTTTCCTTGCACCTGGGTTGTCTCTCAGGGCTGCAACCTCGCTCATGGACGGTGCAGCTGCGGAGGACTCTGAGGCTCCATCCTCTTCCCCCATCATTACACCAGGAGAGGCCTCAAACCTTGTTGCTTTGGTTTCAGAAGTCTCCAGGTGGGGCGGTGGTGGGGACCCCAAGGCTGAGCTGAAGGGAGGAAGAGCCCCCATGTCCCCCGAGGTACCCCAGTGTCCCCACCCACCTGCTCGAAGCGCCAACCGTCAGACATGGTGGAGACCATCTGTGTGAGCTCTTCCTCCTGGCACTGCAGCACACGGTACACGTGCTTGGGTGGCACCTGTGGGCAGAAGTGTCACATGGAGGGCAGCCACCACCTCCCAAAACATACACCCTAGGAGGAGGACAGGAGAGGAAGAAGGAGGGAGGGAGCCATGCTCTGAGTACCTATCTTTCCAGGACCCTGCGCATTATGGGAGTTTTCGCAGAGGCTCACAGAAGTTCAGTTACTAATCCAAGGTTACCCAGCTCAAGGGTGGCAGAGCCAGAACTGGAACACAGGTGACACAAGAGGGAAGGAGGGCAGAGCCCGGGGGACATCTGGTCACCAGTTAAGCCTCCCCTCTTCAGACCCTGGGGTGGCAAGGTGGGGTGGGGTGCCTCACTCCCTGTGTGCAGCCCTGCACTTCCCAGGGCAATGGAGAACTCCATCTCCTCCCACAGACTGGTGTCTTTGAGGAAGGGATGGGTTGGCAAGTCTGGCGCCTTTATATTCCATGAGAGGAAATCAAGGTCCAGAGAGGGACATGACTGGGCCAAGGTCACACAGCAAAAGGAGCAGAGGCAGGGATAGAACCCCAGCATGCTGCGACCACCTTCCCCTCAAAGATGCTCTGCCTTCCCCAGCCTCCCTTCCTCACCGGCCCCACCCTTGGGCTGGATGACCTATGCCCTGACCTGTGTCACTGTGTAGTCCTTCTCCTCCATCCGGTCTTTGATGATGCGGATCAGTGGACCGATGTTGTAGAACTCAGCCTCTTCCAGGACCCCTGGCAGAGCAGCCTCTCAGTCTTGCTGTCCGTGCCTCATTTTCCCCTTGTCCCTTCTGTTCCCAAACCCACTTCCTGTTCTGGTCATATGCCCTCGGGGGTTGAGCTGTGCAACTGTGCGTTCAGGGGTCAGGCAAGAGGGAGCATTTCCTTCCGGGGATCCCACACTCCCCATGGAAGGGGTGAGCTGCCGCCCTACATCTCCACAGTGCTGAGCACAGGACCCGGTCGGAGCATCATCTGGGGTTGTCCAGGGCTATGAGGGCACTGGGCCCCTGAACGCACTGTGAGGAGGTCCAGGCCCAGCTTGCTACACTGTCATTCACCAGGCATGTGCTAAGTGCCAGGCCCCTGTGCTCAGAATGTGGCATTCTTTATGGCACTGAATTCTCAGAACTAGAGGTGGGTACTTTCATCATCTCCCTGAACTGGAGAAATGGAGGCTCTCAAAGAGGAGCAGCCTGTCCAAGGTCACAAAGCCAGTATGCTGCAGAGAAAACTCAAGCTCCTCGGCCTTCAGATCCCATGTTTGCCCACTACAAACACATACACTCCTGTATGTGCAGCTCCCAACTACAGTACTTTACAGAAGTTTGCAGACCCTCTCACTCATCCTAAGGGGAGAGAACCTGTCACTGTCCCATTTCACAAAGCCTAAGAGATGAAGCAAGTCACCTCCACACACAAGAAAGCAGGAGCTCCCAGTGTTTGAGTTCTTACACTGCAGGACAGAGGAGCTTCTGGTTTTTTCTTAGACTAGCCTCTGGGCTCCTGAGGGACATCTATGATGGACTGTTTGTGTTTCCCCAAAATTCACACACTGAAACCTAATGCCTGATGTGATGGTGCTAGGAGGGATACGGGTCTGTGGGAGGTGACAAGGTCATGAAGGTGGTGGCCCCCTATGGGATTAGTGCCCTTACAGGAAGTGGCTAGGCCATGACCATGAATCTGACCCTACAGGCATGGTGATCTCAGACTTCCAGCCTCCAGAACTGGGAGAAACAAATCTCTGTGGTTTGTAAGTCACCCAGCCTATAGTACTTTGTGGTCATAGCCAGAATGGACTGTATCAGGACCCCTTTCCTTTTCTTCCCTGCTTTTCTGATGCCCACATGGGACCTCACAGAGCGGGTAGTCAGCGAGTGCTGCTGCCCGGAACAGGTGACAGATGAGACATCTAGCCTTGCAGCCTGCAGCCTTGGGGCCAGTGAGGTTAATGCTGTTGTGCCCCCATTTCACAGAAAGGGAGACACAGAGGGGCTGAGTAACATTCCCAGTCACAGGGCTCACCAAGTCCTCTCCCAGGTCTCCCATCTGCCTGAGGGGGCCCTCGCCCTGTCTGAAGGTGCTGGCAGTACTAGGGCTTTGAGAAGCCCAGAACCTGTAAACAGGTGTTGGCTGTGACGCAGCTGCAGCTGCAGTGTTCACTCCCACTCCCAGAGGATCTGCTCTGGGCCCAGGCCACACCCATAGCACCTGGGATCCCGGAGAAACTGTTAGCGCTCAGCACAGCTAGGCACTTGGTGTTGAAGCCCTGACCTACTGCGGACTCACTTGGCCCACCTGGGGCTCAGGGAGGGGAGAAAGATGAGATGGGCTGGGACTCACATCTGTAAGACCAACATGTCTCCAGAATGCAGCTCACTGCCCCGTTTTAGAGACACCAGTGCAGCAGAGAAGAGTGACCTGTCCTAGCTGTCCCTGCTGGGTCAGCTGACCAGAGCTACATGCGGTGCTCTGAGGAAAGTTGACTTGCCACTGACTGTAGTCCTTGGCCCTGGCTGGGCTCTGCTAAGGGACTGTTCTCCTCGCCATGGCTTCCCCACCGTCTGCTAGGCCCAGATGTGGGCACTGCAGGCTTGGGAGAGCCAAAGCCCTCCCAGAAAGCACCCCCCTGCCTCCACCCACAGCCAGTGCTGTGTGCAGAGGCTGCCAGATTGGGGAAGAGGCACCAGCTCCACCCACCTGCTGCCTGCCAGCCCTTGCCAGGCAGCATCTGAGATACTGGATTGCCCAGAGAAAGCAGGCCAAGCCTTTACAGTGCTCATCTCCACCCATCCCTCTCCCCTGCCTCTGGGTGTGACTGTCCCCACCTGGCTTCCCAGGAGGCCAGAGAATGGGCATCCCTGCACATAAGAGGCCCTGGGGCATCACTGGCCTCCTCTGTCCTCTGTGTGTGCCTCTGTAACCTTCCCTGAAAACACTCATTCAGTGAAAGTTCAGCAGAGACCTTGAGAATTAGCCTTGACCACAAGGGAGAGAGCAGGTGTCCAACCTGGCTGGCAGAAATGGCTCCAGGCCTCCACGGAAGGCAACAGCAGCCTACAGAAGCAGGACTAGGGTGTGGGCCCCAATCCAGCTCCCTGGACCAACTCACCCTCCTCTGCCATGTCCTTGTCCAGCACCAGCTTGCCATGTCGGAGGAAGTTCAGGATGGGCCCAAAGTAGGTGGGGTCACGGTCGATGAGGTAGGCCCCAGTCTCATCCTAGAAGAGGAGGGTACTGGAGGTGAGAGAAGTGTGAGCCCACCCCCTAGTCCTCCCAGCCAACCTCTCATTACAGATACAGGAAGGGACTGCAGGGAGGGAGGGAGGGGGCAGAAGCAGGACAGTGCAATAAGGCTCTGGGGTCAGATGGAACTAGGTTCAAACTCCACCTCTGCCTTTTCCAGACGGGGTCAACAATTTGCCCTGTCTGAGCCTCTCTTATCTCCCCATATTTAGAGGTCACTGTGGGCATATGCTGAGGGGCACCTGGCCCAGCATAGGGCTCTTGGAATATCCCCCGAGGCCAGCCCTACTGTCCACCAGATCCCTAGTCTTTCAGGGATGTTTACAAGTTTTCAAAAGAGGCATGCTCTCATTGGACACTTGAAGCCTGGAGGGAGGCAGGGCCGGCATCTGTACAACTCTGGGTACATCAGGAGATGAGGGACTTGCCCAAGGTCACAGCGTAGGCATGAGGGACAGGGAACCTTTGAAGCCATCTCCAGACCAGCCCTCGGGTTACAGAGGAGGAGGCTGAGCCCGGAGGAGGGAAGGGTTCCACCCACGGTCATGCAGGGGTTTGCACCAGAGCAGGGCGGCTAACCAGAAATGGTGCCCAGTGGGCCAGCGCTCCTCCTAGGATAAGCCCAGCTCAGAAGGCACTCCAGCTCCTCCACCTGCTTCCTTCACCCCTCATCACCCACACCCCGAAGGACAGGTCGGTGGCCCCATTAACTCCTCTCCGGAGCAGGGGTCCTGTTTGGGAAGTGGGTCTGTCCCTCCCCACAGCCCCAGACCTGTCGGTCCAAGCTTCAAAAGCCCGCGGCCTGCGTGCTCCCGTTGCCACGGCAAAGGGGACACTCTGGGCTCCACTTCCTCCCCCTCCTCCTGCCAGTTCTTCCCTCCTCCGGCTCTGGCTCTTCGGAAAGAACCCAGCCGGGCCCCAGGCTGCGGGCGGGCGCGCTGACCGGGCGGGGCGGGACACCGCCGCGTCTGAAGCAGGGACCCCCGGTCGCCGCCCCCGCGCGCTCACCCGGTCCGACTGCAGCTCTTCCCCCTGGCACAGGCGGCTGAGGAAGGACTTCTGCTCTCGGCACAGCGTCTGCCGGGTGGTCAGGAACACCGTGCCCCCCACGTTGAGCCGCACCCACTTGCCCCAGCCGCCCGCGGCGCGGCCACCCGCCCCCGCCGGCGGCGCTGCCTCCCTGGCGTCCATCCTCATCGCCCGCCACCGCATCTGCAACCACGACTCCGCGCGGCGGGCGATGCACGCCGGGCATGCCGGGAGCTGTAGTCCGCGCGGCCCGGCCCTCGCGTATTCCAGGCCCCGCCCACCGCGTCGCCACGCTCACCCGCCCTTCCTCTCCCCTTGTCG